TGGCGCATGTCGAGTCGTATGCTGATGAACGTTACGGGCTTTCGCAGTCGCTTAACGTCGAATCGCTGTTAGTTTCTGGTGCCCTGAATGAGAGATGAATAACGAATCGGTGACAATTATTGCCGTCGAATTACGAATTCTTTTGGTTTTCTTCAATTCAAGCTTGGAAAGTTTAGAATTCGCGTCTGCTCCTTCTCTACATTTACAATTTTCATTTTAAAGATACAAAGAGAGAATTTTTATTTTAAATATAAATAATTGATGATTTTTATCGACAAAAATTTTCTCCCGATTATGGTATACATAATATTCTTTTTACTATCCAAATCTTTTTTGTCAACCCTTCACTTCTCTGACAACGTATTGTCATATTAAGACCCGCATCCGGCTCAAAGAGACGTGACTTCTTTCTGAAGTCCATTGTCGGCGACACTTAAGGACCGAGACACGTTCTTTCCGTAAACTCAATCCAATTTCTCCCTCATCCGTCACTTTCCCCATTTCTTTTGGGGTGAGCCAAAAAGTGTCAAGTGTCGGAAACGAGTAACATGCGTCTCTATCTGCCGGATAAACGGAGACAATACACTTATAGAAGACAGACGTTTTCTCGTGTCACAATATGAATAGTAAAGCTCGTGCTACTGCGATATTTCTTATACGTAAAGCTGGATTTGCATTTGCACATTTATCTTGTACAACTTGTGATAACGATTCTCTTTTTTTTGAATGTACAGTTCCAGTTTTTTTCTTGTACAATTACTTTTAACTTTATATTTGTGTATACGTCGCAGACTATTTGAATTTTTTTAAGTCTAAACTTTTAACGTAATTTTCTCAAAAATTTGACAGTTTATAAAAAAAATTCAGCTCTTTATGAAAAACTTGCAAAAAATACGAATATTATTATTAATAGCATGCACGATGTGGAAATTTTTACCCAACAAATGTAAGTGTCAAATACAAATGTTAATACAGTTATAAAATAGTATATCCTCTCAGAAGTCAAATCTCTGATCAATTTTTCTCTTTATACATTTCTTAAAATTACTGAGTGTATTCTATTAGCATAAATAATAACATGAAACAGTTTATGAAACATAGAGGTAATGAGTTTGTATTTTGAGAGGCTAATATATTAACAATATTTATTAAACCAGATGCTAAGTTAATTGCGTGTCGATCGTTCAAGATTGATCAATTACTTGATAATTTATTATCGAGTTTCTTGCACCGACTGTTTTTGTATCAGACATATTTTATCTGACGCTACATTTATTATCTTCATCTATATAGCCAACACACTGTAAGTTTTTCAATTAGCTGTCAAAGCTATTTTAAATGAGCCAACTTCCGGAATACTCTATAGTCTTCCTGTCTGCGACACCGTTTTAGATAACCCCTTCATTTGTCTCGTCAAACATCATTCATCGTATGGGAATGACGTATGCACGGATGATGGAACATTTGCTCTATTGCTTCGCAAAATGAGATGTCCAGAACATCAGTGCCTTCTAACAATAAGATCCATATGTCACACGAAACGACATTCATATCCATAACGGACTCCTTGGCGATCCGTTGCGTATTGTATTCGCGTGAGTCATTCATCAAGATTTTTTAGCATATATCTCTGCTCTTCTAAGCGAAAAAACGGTTTCTTATTTTTCTTTCTTCGAATCAATCCTCCCGGGGGAAATACAGAGCGCAAAAAAGATACTTCTTCACTCGAGAGGAATGCTTTGAGATGATAAGTAAATTGAAATTTTTTATTAAATAACTATAAACTTGACTGTGTTGTTAAAAATCGATTCATCTACAGCGTGTTCATTAATTTATATTTTCATCGTCATGTTATTTTATTTCAATGTGTTTAATAGAGATTAAACTAAAAAATTTGATATAATATAAATAAAAAAGGTGTAATTATTGTACATAATGTAGATTGTATAATTGATTTAAATTGTTTTTTTTTTAACTTCCGAATCTTTTCATCGTTGACAAAAGTATCTCAAGAATTTCATGATTTAACATTTAATTGATTTAGCATACAGATATATGCAAATTATATATTTGGAAAAAATAATACTAAAAAGTCAGGGAAAAAATTAATTTCTCGTCTTGGAAAATCTGAAAAAGTCAAGGAATTTTTTTCATTAAGTCTACTGGGCACCCTGATTCAAGATTTTTTAGTATACATCTCTGCTTTTCTACACGAAAAAAGCAGTATCTCATTTTTCTTTCTTCGAATCGATCTTCCTGGGGGAAATACAGAGCGCAAAAAAAGTTACTTCTTCACTCGAGAGGAATGCTTTGAAATGATAAGTAAATTAAATATCTTGGAAACTGCACGAAAATTTAATATTATAATTGATAAAGTTTTTTTAATATTGAGAAATAACGGAATGCTGAGATAAATCCTTCTTTGGCTTTAGCATGCGGCAGAGTTTGTATGTATCATATATATGTATAGTTTCGTTTTATTTATATATTTTTACATGAAAACTGTAGAATATATTTCTGCTTTGAATTTCTTTTACTTTTAGCTTTCGTAAAGAATTTCATTTTTATTTGTATGACATTTATGATCACATGTTCTTTGATTCAAAGTACATTTTGTTGATAAAATTTTTAAGATAACAATATGAAAATATTTGCAATTTTTCATTCGATAACTCTTCCTCTTGGTTCTCTCTTAGCTTTCTTATACATGTAATTGAAGTCAAAGGTCAATATAAAGTTCAATATAGAAAATAAAATAACGAATAACAAATATTCGATTTGATAATATCGATCATAAATATTTCTAAAAATATCCCGTATAAACGATAACATTCGTGAGATCAGTGAAAAATTAAATAGTATCGCGCATTTTCTCTAGCTAACTCGGTGAATGTAATATTTTCTGCACAAATAAAAGTAATACTGAATTTTTATCGACATTTTTACAACAAATAATATTGCAATATATTGATATATAAAAGAATCTCGACGTAAAATGGAATTATAGGGAAAAGAGAGAAATATATATCCGTAATATTTATCGAAAACCCAGAGCGATTAATTTTGAATGATCCTTTTTTCACTTAAAGCGTTAATTATCTCGAACCGGAATTGAGCAATTTTTTTTTATTGACTCGCTCGCGTCGCGAGATGCTGGAACTTAAAATTTTCTCTCCGTAGACCGAGTTCGTCTATGCCCGAGGAAGATCTTCGTCAGGAGTACATCGACGCGGAGAATGTTAAAGAGACGGAGGAATGTCTGGGAATGTACTCCTCCTGCGAGCTCAACATTTACGACTTTGTAACTTTTCGGGAAGCGTGAAGTTTTTCTCCCTGGGAGAAGTGCGTTGCACGCGAATTTCCTGAGGGTGTATCCACGTGGAAGAGCAATTCTATTTTACCGCGACTTGAATATTTTTCCGCTGTCGCTCGGCGTATGACTGTGCGGGCATTATAAAGGCGTTTCTTTACTGAATCAGCAAAATATACAAGTGTATTTTGTCGGTATCATTATATCGTAAAATCGTAAATAAAATGCTTGAGTACAATTTAAGTAAAAAAAATATATATGTAAATGTCATCAAAAAATATATATGTATCTCTGACTGCAGTGTGATATCTTTGATAATTAAATTCTGTGTTTATTGCCAATATTATTATATGTCTACGAGTTCCACATCAATCTATAAAAGGGAAAATTGCGTAATAAATTAGACTAGTACCATCATTTAAAATTACATGAGGTTATAAGCGTAAAAGGATTAAACCGACCAGGCAGATTGTCGTTAAATCGGTAAACGATCGCGAGCTCGGGGGCCATGGCTTTTAAATCTCTAATGTAAAACGGATAAAGTCTTTCGTGAACTCGATGCTGTAAAATGCTTTACTTTCCAGGTAGCTGTCAGAATACTCGAGACTTCTCTATCTGTAGCGGTTGTAAAATTTACTACAATTTCGGGAACTTTGGGTATAAACTTGAAAGTTCCGACGAATCTCTTTATGAAATTTTATTCGGCGAGTTATCGCTTGAATTATTGCCGATAGACTTCTCTCTCTTGGATACGATACGCGCGGTTTTCTCTTATGAACTCCCCGAGAGATAATGCAGAAAGTGGAAAATTTTCCGAGGCATTCCAAAATGAAAATTGCGTCGCGAAATTTCGGCGCATGAATAATTCGTTATAATTTGCAATTTTAATGGCTCGCTAATATTCTATGTTTAGGAAATGAGGGATTTTAGGAAAAAAAGAATACAAAATTTGTAATACAAATTTGGTTAACATTGTAGATTTCATAGTTTTCAAACGAGGACTACTCCGTGAAAATAATTGAGCAGGAAAAAAAATTAACAATGTGATCGTCTTAATAAATAATTAGCCTTAATCTTTCATCTATAAATTTTTAATTACTTACGAAAAGTGGTGCACGAAATGGGATATTATCACGGTTGTACAATATAATCTTCCTTAGGGATGTCAGCATTGAAATAACTTGAACGTGGCCTCGGGATACGAAAGCAAAGGACGGAAAAATGTGGTAATAACTCTTATATATCCTTCCACGTTCATTTGAGATTTACGATCACACGGCAATTACGAGCGAGTATATAAATATATTCGCCCCCGCGATAATTCGATAATACAGCGCGTTCGTCTGGTTTTCTCCAGTTCTCCGCTCTCTTTTTCACTGTGTGCGCAGCAGGTTTTCTCCCGGTAGATAATAAACTGCGAATAAACGGTGAGGATATACCCGAAGGACTTTTAGTTTGCTATATATCATCGCGCGAGAACAAATTAACTGTTTCTGTTTTAAAACGCCGTCTTAAGGAATCCAATAATTTCAAAGCAACGATAAGGGAACAACTGTGTCAAAAAATCGATGAGATTTTAAGGCAATAATTTATTTAACAATATATTACAATAATTTCAGATCATTATATTTTCTGATCATATTATTATCTATATACTATCATTTGAATACGTAATAATAACTTGCACATTTTTATTCAAGATGTATATTTTCCACATAAATATGAATATATCTTCAACTAAAAATATTCGATATCCTGTTGCCAGAGAATTTTCCGTCGACACACGTTTCTCTATCTAATAGATCGAATTACCAAAGCATTCGACACTGTATAGGAACACGTTACGTTTCTACCTTCGACAACACGTGGACGTAGCTTTTCAATAGCGGCGCAATTAGACTTGTTTGTTTCCCGAAAACCGCACGGTAAACTTGGCGACGATTTTTCAGGGGTCACGCGAGGACTCCAATCAAGTCGAAGAGCCCCAGCGGACATTGCGGTTGGTACTTGAAACAGCTTCCATTGCGACCGACCAGCTCGGCCTCGACAACATCTCGCGGCAATCCCTCGTGTCTCGACGCGCTCGGACTGAAAACATGATTTTTTTTCCTTCGTATAATTGAACCGCAATCAAAATCCAGGTCTTCCTAATATTAAAGAGAAAGGTTTCTTTATTCATGATGAGATGGAACAAAAATGTTCCACTGAAGAATAATTATTTTATAACTCGCAACGAATTAAAATTAGAATTAAAGATTTCTCTTTTTTTCCCTTCGTCTTCTTTTTTCTCCGTTCAAACTTATAGGTGTAATTTCGCCGAGAATTACGATGGCAATATTTTTTTCTGACGTGATATGGCTCGTATTAGGAAATTGGCCGAAAACTTCGTTCGCCATTATTTTGCGTATACACACACAAAGTTAATGAGCCGGATAAAAGATATAGGCGCCTTACGTAATTTTACGAACGCAATTTGCCTCGTCTATTCGTTCTTTCGAATTTTTGCGTTCGAGACGCCGCGAGCGTTTTCGCTTACGACGAAAACAATTCCCGAGACGTCGTTGTCTCGGCATGGTAATCGTTATTTTAAGAAAGAGGAAAAGAGACTCGAACCATATCGGACCAATTGTTTTTATTTTTTACATCGTCCTTCGTCATACTAAGCGCCGACGATACAATCGGTTTATTGGAATTTTATTTCATCCCCCGTTTTTCTACCCTTCTCCTTCGGCCTTTTGCCCGATCCGTCTTTTATAATCCCGCACCCTCGTTCTCTCTCTCTCTCTCTCTCTCTCTCTTTCTCTCTCGGGGGAGTGCATGAGCCCTCTCGATGAGAGACGATAAATCTTGAATATCCTGCGTGCTCGAAATGAATCGAATGAAAAATATTTTTCTTTCACGGTAATATTCCCCTCCGAATTTTATTTTATTTTTTTTTTAGGCTCGCGAGAACGAGAATGCATCTTCGCATTCTGAAATATCCGAAGGGCGTATCGTCCTGCTTTCCGACCTTCGTCCGGAGAAGCCGTTCGTCGGGCGTTCCTCTTTCGAAACTTTATTGCCGGTTTTATTAAAATTTAGAACGGCCGCGCCGTAACTTTGCAACTTTGTTGTCTCGTACTTACGGAGCGAATCGAGTATTCAATGTTTCTTGACTGGCGAACAGGAATAACGAAGTAACTCGTGTTATAAAGTAATTTCTTTTTTCTTTCTTCTTCTTTTTTTTTTTTTTTTAGAGAGAAGATACAGCGGAAAAATTTTAATATAGCAAGAATGGCGCGCGAAAGAACTTACCGTGATATATCAAAGCGCGAAATTATTTTAGATATGACAAATTATTCCGCTGTCCGGTATATTTCATTCCGTTTCCATTTCCACTGATGTTTCTTAGGTCTCAGCGATCGGTGGAGACCTTCCTCGGTCCTCGAAAGAGAGAGAGAGAGAGAGAGATCTAGATATAGAACTTCCTCGTAATTTCAGGTTTCTTCTGGTAGTCAAAAAGATGAAGATGCATCCGTGCAGGGCGTAATAATGCATCAGCGTGTAGCACGAGTGCAACGTTAAGAACGAAGACGCGAAACGAGCTCTCGCTTCTTTGTACGTTCTTTGTTTGCCCGCCTGTTTCGGCGCGGAAGGGAAAATCCGTGGCATTGTCGCGGCCCCGACGATGAAAACGACAATGCGCCGGAGGGATGAGACTGCGTATCTCTCTCGTGTCGAGATACAAAAATCTTAAAGGGATGACACCGCAGTTCCTTTCCCGTTATTTTATACTTCGTGCGCCGCCTCTTCCGAAAGAAGCTCGTTAATCGATTCTAGACTTAAACGTTTCAAGTGTCTCCAAGGAATTAATTTCGACGCTATATATATTTATAATTAACATCAAATATTGTATATATATTTTTTATAATATTTTATATATATATATATATTATTTTTTATTTTAATATTGCATATACATATAATTAGATATGACATCAAATATTGTATATATATTTTTTATAATATTTTATATATATATATTATTTTTTATTTTAATATTGTATATACATATAATTAGATATGACATCGAATATTGTATATATATTTTTTATTTTAATATTATATGGTATATAATTAGATATGCATTCTTTGCGAGCGATGTATATGCATAATAATACCGGAAGAGCTTTTACTTTCGTTTCCAACGGACTTCATTTACGGATATAAAATATGAGAGATACGAAGGGAAAGTTCTTGACGCATTTCGCGAAAAGTGCAATTCATCAACGTGATATGAGATGAACTTTCTCGTTCGCTTGGCGGACGACGACAATGTCGCTTTCGCCCGCGGGTTCGTGTCCTTTATTCATACGTTCCTGCTCGGAGAGCTTATTCGCCCACGACAGGGAGAAGCGGGTCGAAGCGGAACGGATGCACGTCTCTATAGGGTGGGCGGGTTGTTGGCTGCGAGGAAGCCAAATTTGCTTTTCTACGGCGCGCGCGTATCTGCTCCAATTTGCAGCGCCTTGGAACGCCGCTGTATTCGACGAGGAAAAAAAAGCCCGCGAGCGGCGCGCTTTTTTCTATTTGTTTTTTTTTTTTTTTTTTTTTTTTTTTTTTGCGAGAAGAGAGAAAATTCCCGTCTGCATCCTCTTTGGCGCGTTTTATTCGTCAGTCGACCGGAACAATGCCGCGTGTAACGGAGAAAGAATAGGAAGGGGATTATTAATTGAGATCCGCGAATCTTATTGCATTTCAGAAATCGTTAATTGCTTCGACGTCATAGCTCATTTCTCCGCATTACAAAGAGGGTTCCGAGAGTCATTATTAAATGCGAAATTATTCTCCTATTATTAACGAATGTTAATAATTTTTAAGTGTATAGATATAGAGAGCCGAAAGTTTACGATATTTCTAATTTCTCAAAGCTTCCCTTCGAGAGATGCAATCTTCGATGCATTGAATAACTTATTTCACTTTGTGCGCTAACAGAAAAAAATGTATAAATGTAAAAAATGTATAAATTGAAAAAAGGATGCAAGATTTCGGCCTTTATTGTTTGTCAACAAGCAGAAACTTACGTGAAAATCACGTGCATTATGTCGCCGATCATCCCGTTGTGCCGAAGCGGATATTCCGAGGTTTCGCAGATCGCTCTCAAAAGGCACTCTCTTCCGGGATTCCCGGAGCTGCAGGCAGAGAGAAAAATCAAGAAAGCGCACGGAGATGTGTGTGAGCGAGTGGAGAACGAGACGTCGTGGCCTGTTTACTTTACGCTTTACGATTCTCTAAATACCGGATTGAAGCGGGCTCATGTGTGCATACGTAATTCGTTGCCTATGTATATTCTCGCGAATAACACACATACACACGCGCAAACATGTACGCCGCGAGTCGAGCATGTAACGCAATTCCCAGACGCCCCGAATGCTCGTAAAATGGAGCCAAGAGTGCATTTGTGCCTCTCTATCTCGAATCTCCACTGATTTCCCGTCTGTTCCGGGCGTCGTCGCGATGCTGCAGCACACATCTCGATGAAAGTCTTCCGTCGAATTCTCACGTTCCGCGATCAGCGCGTGATTCGCACGATAATCGATGCCGGTGATCAATCTTATCGTGCAAGGTGTAATCAGCCGAATCGTTTACGCGATTAATTTACCATTGATTATGATTCCCGAGAACTCTACGGTACGTCTCAGAATTTGGATATTAAAAGCAGAAGTCCGGTTTTTTTTGAGAATATTTTCCTTATAAAATAACGCGAATGTATAAAGCAAAAATTCAGCACGAGAACATGGAAAAATATGATATATATTTTTTTGGCAAAATTGATTTTGACGTAACTAGCAATTTTGCAACGACTGCCACTGTCATTGACGAAACTTCATAGCGATGGGACGTGTTCCTCTTTTAACTATTAATTTTAAACAAGATCGGTTTTATGTTGCGTTAATCTCATTTTAATTGATGGAATTCTCACTTGATAAGGGCCACAACCAAATGGTCGAAACATTGTGAAAGTATTGAATAAAATTGCTAGTTACGTCGAAATCAATTTTGCCAAGTTTATTTTCACCTCTAGCGTCCAATTTAATTTTGATTGATATATTTTTTTATAGAACTGGTTTAATGTGATTCGAAAAATTGATATAAGGAGGAAATAATTTTAGAATTAAATTTTATTATCGCGTTTCTTATCCAATCTTATGGTGCAGTGTATGTATAATCAGCCGAACGCGACTAATTTACGAGTGATTATGATTCCCGAGAACTCTACGGTACGTTTCAGAATTTGGATATTGAAAACAGAAGTATTTTTTTTTGAGAATATAAATTTCTTTATAAAATAATGCGAATGTATAAGGAAAAAATTCGGCACGAGAACATGGAAAAATATGATATATATTTTTTTATAGGACTGGTTTAATGTGGTTCGAAACATTGAAATAAAGAGGAAATAATTCTAGAATTAAATTTCATTATCGCGTTTAGATCAGTAATATCTTGTTAATAAATTCGAACGAGCGCTAGGGAAAATTGAAGAAATTGTCGCGAATAGTTTGTATTAGGATTTAGAAGGAACGTAAATACCATAAAGTATCGCGAAAGGATTACAGGAATTATAGAACGAAGAAGGGGGCCACTCGTAACATATGGCCGTCTGTTTGCGAACTTGCCTCTCGAATTTACTTTCCAGAACTCGATAGATCGTGGCTCTGTCGATAGTCCGCTTTCTCCTTTTTAGCTCCGTCCAGGGCTCAAAGTACGTTATGTTCGGCGGTAAAACGTAGTTGGCCTCGAAGAAGTACGATAGAGAAATAGAGTTCAGCGGATTTTCGAGCGGTACCGCGATAGCGACGAAGATCTGCGAAAAACGTTTAATCGTGTGATCGTCGAGCGATTTCATTTCTACGTTGGATTCTATTCGTGAAAGTTCTACGGGATGTTATACGAATCGCAAGATGATAAAGAAAAAATAGAGAAATTTTAAAAGAGAGAAAATATGATTGCAACATAGTGAAAAATAATATTTTTACATCTTTATAGCGGTAAATTATTGTGTTAATTAATATATTGCACTTTTCTTCTCTGTTATCCTTAAATATCTATTTGTACTCACGCCCATATTACTGTTTGCAGGAAATGACAAGCTCCTGATCGGCCGATGCAATATTTCTGCGATGTCGGAATTCGCTGTCTTTGACAGTACAACGTAGAACATCGACGTCAAATTAAGCATGAAAAATCTACAAGTTGTCAATTATTAAATAATAGAATATACAATAATTGTTACACGCATATTTCTCTCTCTTTTCTCTCCACATTTAATTCTATTTACAAATTCACTTTCCTCTCGTTCGATCGTTAATAAAACGAATATTATTTAGATTAATTCGAGAATATGTTCCATAAATATTCGGCGATAAATAACAGAGCAAAAAGAGAAAATATCGAGAATTCTGAAACGCTCACAGGATTTCTTCTACCCGGCAAAGCATGGTGGCTCAGTTTCTCAATCTGCAGACTTTAGAACTTTGCGTCGAATTTGCGTGAGTAATCGAGAAGCGCCTCGCGACGTCGAGACATGCAAATCGGTTTCTGTCAGACGTCACTCTGTACAGTTATGAGTGACGAATGTTAACTTAACGAGCACACACGAAAACCTTTTCGTGTTAATTATTCCGCCACTTATGCGACGCGGGATATTGATTCGTCGTATCTCGCGAACTTTACGATTGAATTTCACGATTGTTTTAACTAACTCTTGAAATTACGAAATAGTAAAATGAATGTTTCTCTCATGGATCCGTATATATATCGCATGATACTGATGGCACTTCTGCGTTCAAATTGAATCGAATCGACGAGTGATAAACTTCTTTCGCGAACGACGTGTGTGTGGGTGAACTAATAAAATAATATTTGATCCAATTATTCGAATTTTCTTACGTACATTGAAAATATTAAATCAAGATAAATCGTATACATGTATTTCATTTTATTCTCAGATTACATTTTCGGTTGTTTGATATGCTGATTGAAGCTTTTAATATTTCCTCTTATTTGCGTCATATATATACATATTTTATTTTATACATTATACATTGAGAGATTGAATTTTGAAAAATTGGATGATTTAAAATATTCGCATATTTTATTCCAATATTATGCAATTTATAATATGCAATCAGATATAAAATATCATACAATTTTCAATAAATTAATATATTACTTTTAAGAATGGAGAGGGATAAGGATATTTTATTATAAGAGATCCCTGTTCTCTTTACATTGTTTGTACGTTTTTTTGCACTCGAAACAAAACAAGTATCTATACATTTTGCGCTAAAAAAAGAGAAATAGAACAACTATATGAAAACTGTAGTCGAAAAGAATAAACTTGTATACATACATATATGTCGAATGCATTCAAATGCGTTTCACGTAGCTGTCTGAAAATTATTCGTTTATAAATCTCGATGTTCTCTAATTAAATTTGCTAAAAAAAAAAAAAAAAAAATCATTCCACGCGTTTTCGCGATATATATACGGATCAGTGATGTGGACGACACGGAGATTATCAGTGTTATCGCCTCCTTGTTGTAAATATTGGCCGAACGTATCTCGACGCGCCGAAGAAATAGCTCGCGAGCTCTGGCGCCAAGCGTTTAATTAAATTTGCATAGGTGCTCTTCGAGCTCGGGCTGGGCCATGGAGGGCGAGGTATCCATGATTCTCGGTTATGTGCTGAAATGCAATTATGATCTTCCCTACAACGCGTCGGACTTCGCGCAGCAGCGGCGGTGGTCACGATTAAAGAGATCCGAGAACGACTTTGCATTATCGCGGACGACAACGGGCGAAGGTAAAATGCAGAGTCGCGACTTAATCGCGCGTGTATATACAATAATATATACAATACTTTCCATAAGTTTGGAAACACCTTACATTTTATAGTTAAACAATCGTATGGCAGCGATCTGTCATAAATAAGAATGTCACTTAAATATTTGACGATTTATTGATGATACGAAAAATCTACACATGCGAGTGCAAAAAACTGAAGGCAATAAATAACAAATATTCATTTATAAGACTGTTATCACGATTAATAATATTTCAAATAATATACTGATATAAAAAACATCCCATTGAGTTTATATTCTTGCATGTTACGAATATCTAATTAAAGAATATTTCTTTAGAGAATTTTTCTTTTAAATTAAGAGGATCCTTTTGACAGATCTGTGCAGATTTTTTGTATAAATAAATCATAAAATAAACGTAAAATATTTAAACGACATTATTATTTATAACAGATCGCTGTCATGCAATTCTTTAACTGTAAAATGTAAGATGTTTCCAAACTTATGGAGGCTACTGTATATATATATATATATATATATAAATATAAATGAGTCCATATTCTCCCTTTCCTTTGCCCTCCGGTCATATGCATAGTCTCGCGGATTACGCTCGTTTTTAATTTTCTCTCCTCGTTTTTGCGCGTTTTCGCGCCGTCAAAGGCGCGCCTCTCGTTCTCGCGGAAAATCTCCCGGAACGGAAATGCACGGAACGGAAATCACGGGGGTGTAACGAACGAGACGATAATGAAACGCATAATAGCGGCGAGAAAGCGACGCGGGTAATTAAACCGCAGCGCGGGACGAACGCACGGCTTAATGAAACGCAACGAGTGCGGAGTCACGTATTTAAGGGACGCGATTAACGAGGGGGATAGCATCGCGAACATAAAGCGGCGAATTTATGTGCAGACGCCAGCTAATTGATGTAGATGTATTAGTTCTCCGCTTTCCTCTCGTTAGAGACACGAAGAGGGATGAGAACTCCGCGAGGATCGTTTACCGCTAAATGTACATTTTTCATCATGTTTTTTTATTGATTTTTCTTTTTTTTTAAATGTCCCTGTTATTTTTATTTTTATCGTAAACGTTTAGCTCCAGCGAGAACGAATGAGTTATAGACGCATAGTTATTATTATATTATTCATGTTATATATCTTTAAATATTTCAGGTATCGATTTCCCTCCTTGTGCCCTTTGTCTATCTATAATATAACCGCGAAGATAAACACGGAATATTAACGAGGAGATGTAATTAATTTTTGTTCTGGGATAATTAATTATCCGTTTATTTAATATTCATAGGAGAAGTTAAGAAAAGTGGGATATTTTTAGAAAATTAAGATACACAGATTTCTGTATTTTCGAGGAACATTTTTGTGCGAGATATATTTGAAAAAGATATATCATCTTGAATTCAAGAGTACCATTAGTGGCGGATTAACAAGATGAAACGATTTTAATTTTTAATAAAGCTATCGTTTCACGAAAGTGCTTGCAAAAAGATTTGATGCAGTTATTTAATATCAGAAAATTGGCAAGAATTTACTGCTAAGAGAGTAAATTTAGTATCTTATATAATATATTCTTATTCTCTAAATATATATATATATATATATATATATATATATATATATTATATATACTCTTTACTCATTACGTTTAATCTAATTGAATATAATTAGGCATGCAAAACAAAGTTACATTATTTTTTTATGCTAAATTAATTCTTAAAAATTGCAATGCATATATATAAATTATTATTGCAACGCATGAAAATATATTAATTAATTATGCAATGCATAAAAATTCAATATGAAATCTTTAACAGAAAATGCGAATAGAAAAATAGAATTGCGCAGCTCTTGCGGTCGGTGATGGGAATCAGTCTCATGCGAGACGTGCAGCGTAGTGGATGCAGGGGACACACGTGTTTAATGGAAGCACAGGTATTTTGATCGAAAGATTTTTGTAGAGAATTCTATTTTCTGTTTATATTTTCTGTTAAATATTTAAATATTGAATTTTTATACATTGCATAATTGATTTATTTTATGCGTGCAAAGAATAATATAATTTCGCTTTGCGTGTGCAATTATATTCGACTAGATTAAACAAAATAAAAAAAAATATATATATATATATACAGAGTTCCATATATATTACAATACCTTTATTCAAAGACAAGCTTTTTAAAGAGAACACCCATAGAGGTAGCTAGAATGACGATTACCTAGATTTTGTTTTAATTTTATGCAGTGTAAATAGCAGACATAATTAATTTTGCATTTCTTACGGAAAACTTATTCTTTGTAGTAGAAAAGAAAAATTAAGAGCACTAAAATTTCTCTGCCCGAGGCGCATTCTTTGTTGAAAACTGCCGATAAAATACGATACTGAGAAGTTTGCATGCTTTTCTGACTATTTTTGCATATTTTTTTTATTGAAAATCGCTTTAGTCGTGAAATAAAATGAGAATAAAGGAAAAAGTCAAAGTTACTGGAATTTTTAGCAGTAGCAAGTTGGCCAATGCTTTACTTTTCAGCAGTTGAGAGCATTTCAGGAAGCATCCAATGCGTTTATTTAAAATATATGTACCATGTGAAAATAGTTATCTATATATATATATGTATTTAATACATATGTGTATTTGGTAATACATATATGTTTTTGGCATCAACATAATTATTTAAATCATTTTGGATCTATATCGGGAAATTATGTATCTATATTAGAAAATTTTTTGTCTCTTTCATTTTTAACCATTTTAGCTATCTGTGAAAATCGTGTTTTTTTGCTGTGTATGAAATTGTTTTCCAGCTAACGTAAGTTTACCTTGATGTCATATTTTGACAAATGAGAGACTGCTACACGTAACTCCAAGCTAATACAATATTATTTTGCATATTATTTCACTTTTTTCTTTTCAACCTGTAATCTCTCGCGACGATTAAAAATAAAAAGCTGACACTTTTGCGTGATGTAATTGCAAGTGCATCGGAACTACGGAACTACGCAAACGTTGGAATACAGTAATGTTGTTTTTTCGTTTTTATTTCCGAAGGGTAAATTTTTAAAATTTGTCCAATTGCGGAAATTCGTATTCGATTCATTATTTATACACGTGAAAGTCAGGACTTTTGAGTGCTGCGTTTCCGAGAGCAATTTGTTGGCGCGATGTATCGCGTGGTTTTTGAGTTTACAATAACTCATTTAAAGCGACAGACACGTACCTTTTACTATTAACGGCAACGGTACATTTCTAGCTGTGTGTGACGACCGAATGGCTGTTTACCGCAGATGTTTCTCCCTTTTTACGAGGTGAACTCGCCACCGGGGCATCAGGCTTTTTTCCCCTCATTTTCGCCCGGAAGTAACTTCCGCGAGAAACGGTATCTCGTGGAAGTCAATAGAAACACGTGCCGCTGCACCGCTAACGTCGATGGGTCACTCGACACTGCACTGCGCCATTGTCATACGCTTCTTTTACGAGCCTCGTCGTAATATTAACGCACGTTCGGGAAGTCGTCGCACGGTCAGCTCTTTCTTTTTTACGAGCCTAGAGGTTTGGGGCTGATGTTGATTCGATAGAGATTCGAAGAGCGCGCGAAAGCTTTGGCATACAGACTAGACTATATTTTTCAGAGAGTCACGTGCTTAGAAATTAATTTTTCATACAACACGATATAAATACAACATACAAATCAATATACGAATTTAACTGGCACACTGCTCTGTTAACTAAACATAAAATTAAAACTGGAAAATCAATTAGACAATTTAGCTAATTTTTAGAACGCGAATAAATCTATAAATGTACAATGTACAGTTCTTCAGCTTCGCTTTGTATTTAATCTTTTTTATTTTTATCTCTTAATATTACTGAATTTTAATGTCTTTAACTCCTCTCCTATAAAATTTCTGTATACTGTAGATATATATATATATATATTATAAATTATATACAGATATATACATATATATATTTTTGAAATAAAATTTCTGTATACAGGCGGAAAGTGTATAACAATTAGACACATTTAAAAAATATCGATACGTATATATCTGTATATTATTTAATATATTATAATTTTTTATATTTCTCGCATATCAATCACCGTAAACGCGAAAAGAGAGACATTTCGCTGAAGAGCCACGTCAGCCGACTTGCGGGAAAGATTCTCGCGCCTTATTTCCGTGTTCTTTCCGCTACGTTTACACGTTTGGACATAAAACGAGCTTGATTTGGCCCAGGTGTTGCATGTCTGCGTCATTTTCGTTTTATTTTCAGGTTACATGACGCGATGGACGCTCTACGGGATGCTGGAATCGACGTTGGAGCGCTTCGATAAGGCCTGTCTGTTGCGCATCGTCTACGAATCCACGGCGTATCCCTTCGACAAAGGACACGGGTTCCTGGGGGAGCTGTTGCACGTTCTCCTAACGCCGTCGACGACCCGCGAGGAATACGAAATCTATTCGAATCCGACGCCGAGATGATAGGTAGGAATACGCGCGGGAGATGCGCGCCCTTTTATCCGGAATGAGAGTACAATTCGCTCGATTACTTCGCCAGACTGACTGTTTGAGTAAAGAGTAAATCAAATTTTCGAACGACGAAGGTTGGTCCTGACAATGTTCGTTTGTAGATTACAGAGTGCAAGAATAAAATCTACAGGCTACTTTTTTACATAAGAACACTTGAAGAATTTAATTGAAATTAATACATAATTAATTTAACTTGAATTAATTCTATAAATTAATTTATAAAATAATTATTATATAAATCCATTTAAAGTATGAAATTAAATTAATTGTAAAGATTAATTCTTTCAAGATTTTGAAAACTTTTACATGCTTTAAGTATAAACTATTTTATAGATAAATGAAGAGATTGAGACTCTTTAATGTTCGTTTGTAGATTACAGAGTGCAAGAATAAAATCTACAGGCTACTTTTTTACATAAGAACACTCGAAGAATTTAATTGAAATTAATACATAATTAATTTAACTTAAATTAATTCTATAAATTAATTTATAAAATAATTATTATATAAATCAATTTAAAGTATGAAATTAAATTAATTGTAAAGATTAATTCTTTCAAGCTTTTGAAAACTTTTACATGCTTTAATAAGTATAAACTATTTTATAAATAAATGAAGAGATTGAGACTCTTTACTGCCTTCTTTATTTGACTAGCGCCGAATAGACACAGTTTTGTAAGTTTTTGATTAATTCACTGCATTTTGCAAATTCGCGAAGTAAAATAGGTAAGAGAAAAAATGTAAAAGTATGTCGAGAAAGAATCCTTATGCAAAATTGTGCATTAAACGTCATACTTGCGGCCTCGGATTCTTCTCTGTTCTTCTGAAACATGCTGACGTAACGTGAATAAAATCCACGGATCGAGAAGGAGTCTCTTCGGATCGCTATTGTCCGAAGGAAAGGACAAGCGCGCGAGAGCGAGTTCCTACGAAAGGGAAGAAAAAATGGATCGTTCTCCTGCATAATTTATAAAGAGAACTTCGTAGAGGGTGTGCACAATGACGAAATTGCCAAGTATGCAAAAGCCAGGAACGTCCACCTGTCCGTTTCGCGATCGTTTCGAAAGTTTGTGCTGTCGCGTCGTCGTTTCACTAGTTAAAGCAGCAATTTCCAGCACAATTTTTTCGCACCCCTTTTTTCCGCCATCGCTGCCAGTCTGGAGCCGGAAAGAAGCGGAACGATCGACTTCCCGCGAACGAAAGCAATCATGCCATTGTCTTCGGGGAACGTATCTTTTTGCGTTTTTACATAAATGAATGGCTCTCGTATATTAATCGAATTTTTCAGTCCTTCTAGAAAATTATCCACAACTAAGTATACTCGTCGCTTTGGTTGAACTAAAAATAAATATGTATTACGCAAATCGCGCCGTGAGTTCGCAATTTATTGAATACTTCGAGCTCTTTTTAGCACCATGATTTGTTTATTTAGTTTAAACCTACATTATAAAGTAGAATTTTATAGAAGCGGTTTAACTCTTAACTTTTTTGGAACATCGATTTTTGAAATATGATAGAAAATAATAATGCATGAAACAGAAATATCTGCAATATGAATCACGCGAATCGAGAATTTCTCTCTTTAACTGCATATTTGAAGTGAAATATTGTAAGTCGATGTGCAGTGAAATGAGATATTTCAATTAAAATTCACAAGAATTTTAACGCAGAATTTTTTAATTTACAAAATTGCTCAAAATTGCTCAAAACGCCGTTTGCGTTTGCGTATAATTAAAACTGTTTTCGTTGAAATAAAAACGTCAGTTTTTCTATAAAAAATATTGTTTAAAAATCATTTTAGTAGCGTGTAAACTCGGTAAAAGGCTTGAGGATGCAATTGAAGCACTCATTTCTAAAAAAGTTTGCGACCCTCGTAGCTAATCTAATGTTACTTTTGATGCGTTTGAAATCGTTTGAACTGGCCATTTTCTGGAATAAAAGCCCCCCAAGTCCTTTGTAATATCCTGGAAATGACCGCAGAGCGCTGTAATTTTAATCCAGAGACTTTGATGATGTTACACGCGTGTTTACAAGCAAGAAGGATTGAAAGGAGTCGTGCAAAGGGAGTTGAAAAATTGTAATAATTGTCCGCGCTCGTGCGTCAAATTGACAAAAATTGATATACTGACATTATAAAAATCATATTATATCAAAGAATATCTCATGATATTAATTATAAAAGGAAAGAGATGCAAAATATGTATATCTATATTTTTTAAATTAATCTTTGTATACATCTTGCTTCATCAAAATAGATAGTAGATTTTCCTCCGAAAAAAGAAGACAGATTAAAAAATAATTAATGTCCACGACTTATATGAAGAAACTATTTATAGACGAAATTTTGTTATATCTTCCTCTGTATGGTTTTACTATCGATAAACTATTAATAATAAGTGCGATCCTCTTGCATGATATTAAAGCTGTTTATCAATCAGATTAAATAATAATTAATAATTATCAGATTAAAAAATAATTAATGTCCACGACTTATATGAAGAAACTATTTATAGACGAAATTTTGTTATATCTTCCTCTGTATGGTTTTACTATCGATAAACTATTAATAATAAGTGCGATCCTCTTGCATGATATTAAAGCTGTTTATCAATCAGATTAAATAATAATTAATAATTATCAGATTAAAAAATAATTAATGTCCACGACTTATATGAAGAAACTATTTATAGACGAAATTTTGTTATATCTTCCTCTGTATGGTTTTACTATCGATAAACTATTAATAATAAGTGCGATCCTCTTGCATGATATTAAAGCTGTTTATCAATCAGATTAAATAATAATTAATAATTATCAGATTAAAAAATAATTAATGTCCACGACTTATATGAAGAAACTATTTATAGACGAAATTTTGTTATATCTTCCTCTGTATGGTTTTACTATCGATAAACTATTAATAATAAGTGCGATCCTCTTGCATGATATTAAAGCTGTTTATCAATCAGATTAAATAATAATTAATAATTATCAGATTAAAAAATAATTAATGTCCACGACTTATATGAAGAAACTATTTATAGACGAAATTTTGTTATATCTTCCTCTGTATGGTTTTACTATCAATAAACTATTAATAATAAGTGCGATCCTCTTGCATGATATTAAAGCTGTTTATCAATCAGATTAAATAATAATTAATAATTATCAGATTAAAAAATAATTAATATCCACGACTTATATGAAGAAACTATTTATAGACGAAATTTTGTTATATCTTCCTCTGTATGGTTTTACTATCGATAAACTACTAATAGTAAGTGCGATCCTCTTGCATGATATTAAAGCTGTTTATCAATGTGCATCAATGCTTTCATGAGGAGTTTGTTCAAGAAAGTTTACTTTAAGTTCTGCTTGTGAAATCCGCGTACTGCTTAAACCTCGACTCGCGTTTTGCTTATGTTTGAGAGGGGCGTCGGAAATATTCCGTTGTATTGGGAAAAGATAAATGATCCTCCGCGGAGCTTGCGTCGAGCTGGAAACGTTTCAAGCTGGAAAAAAGTTTCGATCGTTTTTCTTCCCATTCGTTTTCTTTCATTCGGGGCGCGGCGAGAAGGTATTTACCAAGACGTTTTCCTTCCTCCTAGCGATTATAGGATTTTATATGATTGCTTATGAGAAAATATTAGGCATTGTTCGCTCGTCGCGTTTGGCACAGGAGAAGCTCCGCCGCAAATAAATCTCCCTAGTACAATAAAAAAAAAACTTTGATCGAGATCCAACGATATTTCGCGCACAGGATGCGGTGCCATTTATAGATACGAAGTTTGTTTACCGCGTTTGTTTTATCGTCCGAAAAAAATACATTACTTTTGTAACAAAAGTCGCTGTTTGTCATGATAATTAGAACGAAAGATTTACGTTTACAGATCTTAATAAAAGATTCACGTAATTATTCATCGTCATGAGAAAAAGTAAATGTATATATTTAAAATGATGAATACACAAAAAAAAGGACAATAGAAACTTTATATTCCAGCAAGAAATGATAATATTAGAGAAAAGTCAGAGATTCTCAAGATTATTAAATTATTTACGAAACACGAGATATGTAATTAAATGGTAGCAATCGAATCGATTCTAAAATTGCATTAAAACTATTATTTGAGAAATGAAAGTACGGAAAAAGCGTTGGAAGGAACGCGAGAGTGCAGAGAACCAGCCGCACGTTCGAATCTCTCGGGTAAGAAAAATAAGCCGGGATAATCTTCGTCAACATCGTTCGCGTGGTGGTTATGGAAATCGAGCTCTCCTCGCTTTTCCTTTAACCATTATGAGATTTTCTAGACGTCAGCTATCCGCTGTCTGTGAAATGCGCTGCATTAAACTGCCCGTTCCGGACCGGCGAGAGATTGAAGACATAGTTTTCCCGCCGCGGCTAGGCTTCTCTCATCGAGCTTTACCCACCGAGTTTTTCGATAATCACCTTTCATAACCACGTTTTTCCCCTTGGTTACTTTTTTTTACCCTTTCCTAGAATATTCTCTACCGAGTCGATATCGCCGGGGTATAATCAACTTCACAGGAATGCGACAAAACGAGGGAAATGTCACTCTGCTCGTGACGTTTCTATGTATTTACGTTTTATTTATATATAATATTTTCTGGTTATACACGGGAAAGGATTTACTTACGCGAGGGAGAATAAAACGTTGCGCTGTACATAAATTGGACAATCGCTCGGTGTATATCAAACGCACATTATGTTTATTCGTGTTTATTAAATTTTTCGTCGCTTATATTTTCTACCCTCGTCCTGGAGTACGAAGCGAACGCAGTATTATCGGCGCAACCGGCCGTTTTTAATATCCAACGAAAAACGCGGCAAAGGAGTTGTGTTGCCGGTCACTTGTTATTACTAGCTGCTTCGATATTAACGATCGTCGACCTCATCCCTTCTCTGCGAAACACGGCAGGGGATACATACTTCGAAAGTGGGTCGACGAGCGCAGCTTTTTAAATAGCGAGTGCTTTCATGATCTCGAACAACTTTAATCCCTCGAACATTTTTCAATACCTACCTACCATCGACAAAAATTTATATCCAAACATGTTTTCCCGTAATCATGGAGAAAGAGAGACAGGGAGAGAAAAAGAGCTTGCATGCATCGCGCATAAATTCTAACATTACACAATACATGTCATGTTACGCATCACGCAATTCGTTATTATTAGACGTTTACAAAAATTTATAACCCAAGCTTTTCCATCAATTCTTTCTCTCTCAGCATTTATGCTTTATGTATTGTTCAAGAATTATATCATTATATAGTTTTACTGTGTTTTATACATTATTTAAAATTTAAATTATTGAAAAAAAAATAAAAATTTATATATATATATAATATATTCTACAGATGTATTATCTTATCCGTGTTACGAATTTATGAATTCATCAATCTGGAATACATCATTTTATAATGAACGGCTGTTTTGTGACTTATTAATATTTGACGTTAAATTAAATTATATATAAATTGTTAACGCAAAGTAGTGGAAATTATCTGAAATATAAATTATTGTTTCAATAATTGCAAAAAGTAAGAATTTAGTATGCAAATGTATATTGTATAAAATATTTTCAATTGTTTAAAAGAATTTGCTTATTAATTTACTTTAAATATGTTTATAGAACAAAAAGTTAAAATAATCAAATTAAATTAAGAAATTAATTCTTATAATTTAAACAAGAGTGTATAAAAGAAGAAGATTTGTAACTAGAAATAATATACCATGTAAAAAATGTCCGCTCACTTTCGAGCATTTGTAAATTTCTTCAAAAACATTCTTAAGCTCAAGTCCTTAATTCATTGCTTCTTGATCAGCTGAATAATGCATTCTTATTCCGCTTCGTGGAATTTATTATAATAAAACTTTCGCGTACATACTTTAATTTTATTCTCATCAATTCAGTTAAACCGTAAGAAGATTTTCCGCGCGGCGTTATCGATTCCGCTTAAATCCCGGCGGCACGGTCTTTAAATCGCGAGTATTAATCCGCTCTCGAACAAGCTACTCGCGCAAATTTATTGAGTTGTGGGTAACCAAAATCCTTTCAAAGTGATTATGTCGCCGATATTAATTACGCATTAACTGTTGTATAAAATGACAGCAATGACGTTCGTTCTACGAAGAGAGAACATCTGATGCATTTAATTACGCAAATATTTATGAGCATTTAAATACACAAGACATTTCTACATTTCGATGGGTTTTTACATTATTTTTAATATATTAATTTTCCATATTATTCTTTAATTCTACTCTCGTACGTCATCGCGGAATCAAAGGCAGAACTTTTCCGGGTCATTATCCGGTTAACTCGCGACTAATTATAGTTACCAATTAGCGTAATTAATATATTAATTACGCTAATTGGTAGGCTGGTTCGACTACTTCGACTGAGAGAGGCATTGAATCGTCAGTTTCGCTAAAGTTTAAGAATGCGAGTCCCTCGTGAATTCTCGCTGGCCATCTTGTGTGTCTACCTTCATGATATTTATGCTGCCACTTTATCTCAAAGTAGCGGCAAGTTTGCTCGCGATAAGAGATATTTGGTGTACCCGCCGCCTAGGGACCCCTATGCAGCGACGAGAGTTCAGGTACTCAAAGATTCCTCTTAAATAAAACGCGCGACGAAAATGTGTGAGAAATTACAAATAGACTACGTCTTGTCTTGACGACATTGTTCAAGAGACTATTACTAGAGATAAATTCATTTACTTGAAAATTTACTCTTCTTCTACCTTTAATCAAAATAATTATCTTATATTTTACATGAATATTAATTAATACGCATTTTTAAATATTTCGTTTTTTTTTAGTTGATCGAATTGATATATGTGTAGATTAAAATCTTGTTGAAATATTATTATGAAAATGATGTTAGATTATTAGATAAATTAATTCTTCAATAAAAATATATTGTCTTATATTTTATAAATATTTCGCTTTTTCTTTTGATTGAATTTATATATGTATATATTAAAATCTTGAAATATATTTACAATTATATTAGACTTATTCGTTGTTACGTTTCAAATAAATATTTAAATGCTTTATTCGAATCGAACAGCACTTTATAACATTTCTCACAAAATTTATTCGATTTTTAAATATGAAGTTAAATTGAATACATAAATCGTTCTGCTATGTTGTTCGCATTGTTTCGTGCATTATCTTTTGATAATGAACGACGCGTTTGATATGGTTTGCCGGTTATTCGAATCACATAGAGTCATAGAGTTTAGAAAGACACCCATTTTGCGATCCAATTTCGTGCGATTGAATCTCGATCGGCGGTCGGAAGAAGGACGTGACTCGTGATCTCTGGTTGTGGCAAACGCGATCGATGACACCTTCCTATATTTGAAAACCGTTCCAGTTAATCCTCGGCCTCGGTTTACCTATGGAAGTTGACGTCAGCATGATTATCGGCTATGTGATGAAATTTAATTACGCCCTGCCCTATAACGCCTCGTACTTGACGGATCCATATGTCCGCTATGACAGATCGATCAGTCGTCGTGTCGAGTCTGATGATGGGAATGACGCTTCTACGTCAAATGCGAAAGGTATCACGTTCTTTATTTGCAAAGGGTGCGAAACTAATTGAGCTATCGGGTAGCTTCTCCCCTTAGAGATTCTCCACCTTCATTATCCTCATTTATCCCTCGTCTTGCAGTAGAAGTAGAATTATTTCACGCCATCACGCTACCTTGTAACGCTATTTCATTTGTTGCTTTGTTGCAGAATAATTATAATCGCGTTAACAATTTTTCTCATGTTAAATGGATTTTAATTATCGCGTGTCGAAAAAAGCAGAGGGAAATGAACCAAAATCATCGGTTTTGTAATTGATTACAAATGCGGATATAACTTTTTATCGGAGAGAAACTGTCGATATCTCAAATTGGCAAAAATACACGTCCAATCATACTCGTATTTAATTAATTGAAATGTAAAGTTTTTATCTCAGCAGCCACATTGGGACGTTTCCTGGGCTTCTGATGAAAGTGTTTTTATGATCCTTTTGCTTCTCGAATCGACATGTATATGTTCGAACGAAGACGCTTAAATGTTTAAGAAAACGTGGGATTATGTAAAAAAAAGTGGCGTTTACGTCAAATCCATCAAGAGGTCCTTGAATGAAATTTCATCCTTTGAAATCTAACAAGTATTTCGGAGGGTCGATAAACGAGACTTAATATATAAGTCGGATAAGACGAAGATCCTTTCCTTTTTATACATATTAATAATGCTACTTTTGTTGCGTGCCTATCTTGCGATACAATGGACGTTCTCCTTAATTCTACTTCTTTATCGAAGAGAACTTTCTCTCTCATTCACTTTGATCTAGTTAATCCAAGTTTAACACAGCTTGGGTCTTTTCTCATTTCATTCACCGTCACTATCTTTTTACTTGTATATCAGATTCATAATGAATTTGAACGGTCTTTAAGAATCTTTCTTGAGATATTAATCGTTTTTGATAGTAATATAAAAATTTTCTCAGTCTGTAATATCGCACTTATTTCAATTAAACAGCATATAAAAATATAACAATGTATATATTATGTTACATATAAGATAGCACATAACGTGTTATCAAAAGATTATATAATAAAAAATAAATATATTTTAATAAAAAAAAATGTACATGCATATATGTATGTTAGAATTAATTAAAAAGATCAATAAAAAATTAAAGAGTCATATTCTATATAAATAATTTACAAAGTCGAGTGTATCGAGACTTAGAAAATAAAAAGAAAGAAAAATAATATACTTTTTAGTTTGCATTTTAATTTCATATTCCTAATTTATATCACTTTTTCATATAGGTACGTATATTTTATTTTCATCTTCGTTATTATTTTTTCAGGTGAAGCAGCTCTGATATCGAGATGGGAATTCTACGAAATCCTCGAGTCGATCTTCGAGTCTACGCGCTCGGGCAAAGCCTGTCTCTTAAAAAGCATTTGCGAGGCCGCGGCGGTGCCTTTCGGCCAGAGGAGTCACACTCTGACTGCACAACTCGCTCATATTTTCCTCACGTAAGCGTTAATCCGGCAAGTAGTCTCTTAGAATAATCTTCACTGAGCCCAACATAGCTGCGCGATTAAGGAACTGTTACGTTTACCGCACTATTGTCGCAGCTTAGGAACGCGGCTAGTTCATGCACGGCCGTATTATGTGATGCATCCGGACTCTCACGTGTACACATACGCTTACAAGACGTTTATTCAGAATGGGAAAATTATATATATTATATTTGTGTAATGGGATACGTTCCGCGTGTATTTTATAATAACAGCGAGTATTTGTTACTTTATTGAACAACATTTTATTGATAAACTGCTCGATGTGACAAACATGATTGGGCGTTTTTCAAAGTCGGTTTATTAAATATTTTATAATGTGACTAAATCTCAACCGTAAAGATCTGAACGTTCTGTAAAAGAAATCAAAGCTTACAACACTTGAAAAGGACAAAAACAGATGGTCGAAACGTAGTGTACGATTCCACAAAACATATATATACAGTCAGTTTGGTTGAAATAAAAAATCTTATTTATTGAACAACGTTATATAAAGCGTCTCGCTATATAAAAATATTTTTGTAATATCGATGCAATAAGATTTTTGCGAAATAAAAGTGGTGTTATAGTTTAAGATTATAATACAATATTCTAATAGTGTAAATATTTCAGGCCTTCCACCACATCTGAATCATACGGGAGTGTCTTTGATCAAGAATATCACGCCGCAGAAATCGCAGGACAACGAGATCCCAGCAACTGCGACAACTTATATCCCGAATGCGCGGAAAGCCTCTTGGATTATTTCACCGAAATCTATTAAAATAACTGTGCCATTCCGGTGTTCTTATTTTAACGTTATATTTTAGCGTTACATCACAAAGTTATTTATATCAGATCTCTAGCGCAGATCTTTATCGCGTCAACAGAATTGATCGAGACCTGTTTGGTCGTACAATTGTCTGAGAAAACGTAATTTGTCACACAAATTTTCTATTTTTAATTTCACGAAATATTTCACATTTACTAATCGCTAATCAATGATCCAAGAGCCAGATTTATTGATGATTCATTGCGGAAAGATACTGAACGATTCAATTTCCATTCGCGAAACTTCATTCGCTGAAATTATTCAATTCTCAATGCGCGCAACTCGTTAAATTAAATTAAATCTGAGTTATACGTATGTAACACGATGCTTTCCGAAGTATTTCCGATATAAATCCTCGTACGCGAAATGCGCGAGAGTACGGTAAAAAAAGAAGAAAAGAAAACAATTTGCTCGAGATTGTAGACGCAAACGAAGTATCCGTTTTAATAACAGTTGCGTTGCACCGCGACTGATGATTAGTAGCCGGTCTCTCCGGCTTCTATAAATTTCGAACCGGTCATTTTCTCCTCGCATGCACCTGTTGTCGAGAACGGGAATATTGGCAATAACAAACCCGATAACTGCGTCACGTTCCGATCGCGTTTGGACGCGACTTTTATATATATATTTTTCGCTTCCGCGCGCGTATCTCTTTTCGCTCGCTCTCATTTTGCCTCCATTGTCCTGTTTCTTAATATTTGTAATATTAGGTTGGACGCGAGATCGTGCGAGATCGGAGCCTGCAACTTATTTTTCTACGAAGGAGCCAACGCACGTTTCAACCTACATTATGTGCACTGGTTGCCCTGCAAACATTGATTGTAACGATGAATCTTTCTTACGATGCTTAGAAGAGACTCATTTTGAGCGACAAAATCGACACGTATTGTTGATTCTGACGCAGTATAATTAATTTTTTTCTATAAATGTGTTTATATGAACACAAAAGAAAATAAAAAACGTGATTTTTAATAATTGTATATTTATACGAAGAGCGTGTTATGTGTACTACAAGTTTCTCGAAAAGTAATAAAGAATCTCGATATTACAAAATAATAGTATAGAACTTCAGAGAGAAGGCGTGGAATCGAGAATCTCGATATTATGGCATCCAGATAGAGAAACGTGACGCGAAAAATAGGATTCGAATTGTGCTAGCGATCACGCAATAAAAAAAGGTAAGCACTATGTCGCTGCGGGGCCCTCGACAAGGGTTCAAGGCTTCAGGGAGACGGTAATAAAAAAGAGAACGGCATTCTTCTACAAGAATTGAACTAGCCGGGTTTATATATCACTTACATATTCTGTAAATCTAGTTTATTATCTCAATTATATTATTTTAATCTATTGGTCGCTTTGATTGAATCCACAATCTTTTTTTTAATTCATTTTAGACAATATATAATTCATGATAAAATTTCGGACAGAATTTTCTATTTATAATTTTATGTATCACATAATAAAGGTAGAAAAATATGAAAGACAATTACAACAATTTAAAATTCTGTCTGAAATTTTACCGCAAATTATAAATCATATATGAAGTAACTTTATAGAGATAATTTTTTTGTAAGGAATTAATTAATTTTTAACTTAACTTTAGCTAATAACTCGAAAATTGTTAATAGATTCATATCATTAATAAAAAATTAGAGCGAATATAAAATTAATGTAAGATTCCGATTGATAGAAATTTTATCTTTGCTTTATTAATTTTATTCGAATTACGTATCGTGTTAGCAGTATGCCATTTTCTAATCTTGTGGACAACCAGAACCATCCGTTCTTTATCGAGTGGACGGAGCAATTGGTTTGGTTCACATGTATTGCCGTGGAATGTACTGCCGTGTATTCTGCCACGAAATTGAATTACAACTCCAGAACGACGTAATAAAACCCACCCTTGTTCGCCCGTCGTTGGGACAAGTGTAAGAAGAAACGAATCAACCCCCAACTGTCTTCCAGAAAGGTTCGTTATCGATCAGCGACAAACAAGTTTCTGATTCGCGCTATAGAAATTTAACGATTTAATCACGCAGACGTTGAAAATATTCTAATGCAAATTTTAATGCGTGATAAATATATTGATACGATTAATTTTTCTATTAAAAAACGAGCGTTTATCTCTCGTCATATTGTAAAATTAAGCTCGCACAACAGATGGTTATATTAATATAATGATTTTAAATGAAATTTATAGGTATAATGCGGTACACATCGCGCGAAAGAATCGAAACGCTTTTGTTCTGCTTTAGGTTTATAGCGCTGTTAATCATTCATTTTCAAGCACTTCTAAGGTACTGACGCGAACAATGGATATTTTTTTCAATTTTCGTTTTAAGTGGCACGTACAACCGGGCTACTGCGGAAAATGGAGCCCCCGATAACCCCCATTGTTGACCAGCGTGATAAACTGACCCCGCATACGTCTTCTTTTGTTTCAGAAATACCCCGCGTGCTCTGTTACGTAACCATTTATTTTTCGTCCAGCGTTGATTTGGTGCATTGTATAAACCCAGCCTCTTCCGATATAAAGAGGAATGATTGAAACCGTGAAAATGTTGTCTACCACGCTATCAAGGATACCTATCTTTATAATCTTATTAATTTCAATTTTTTAATTCTCCCATAAAAAGTGATTAACCCTATATTGTACATATTCAATTATATAATGTACAAGAGCACATTTTACAACGATTATATAATCAAATGCAACACGAGATATAGAGGCGGCAGATTTTGCAGATAAAAAGTTCAGTGTTAACATGAGACAAATTTAGAATAAATTATTTAATTTCGAATCAATATTTTATTTTATTAAATCCTCCGTCCTTCGTCAAGGGACAAATGAATGTTGTTTAGCCGCACGTGCGGCCTATTCGGGGTATAATATACGTGTGTCACGCATTTTGCATTTGCTTTTCAGGCCCGAAGACGAAGGGTTCGGGTACATAATGCAGGTGAGTTTTATGAGATCGTACGACCCTCCGTTGTGATTCAATTTAACGCCGATAAACGCGAACTAGCCAAGATTTTACAACGTGTTCCGAGATTACGAGAGCGAGTTATACACTAAACCTTCTTCTCTCGTCGCGATCGCGACATACTTTGTCTATCCTCGCACAAATTTCGCATCGAGATTTCATTTTATCGGAATCCTTCGCTTATGAAGGCCCGGGATATTTATGTAAAATATTTATTGCCATCTGTTGCCGATCGTGAAGATCGGCAGCTGAAAATAAGATTCAAGTTATCTTGATATTATGGTAATCGGAAAAAATTATCTCTTTTTTTTATATTTCATATTTTTATTTTTATATTTTATCGAATATTTTATATTTTTTTTTTATATTTTATCGCACACTGGAAAGCGATATGTATGTATATATTTCAAACCATCCTCCCTTTTTTCGTTATATAACCGGAAAGAATCTACCTTTGACCTTTTTTATATTCCATTGTAGCTATAATTCTTGAAGATTATTAAATAAATAAATAAATAAATAATTCTCCGAGAAAAGCCGACGTCGCATTGTTGGTTCACGAAATACGGTATTCCCTGCGTGCGACTGAAGACAAACTTAAGCTAGGCCGGACTTAAAGAGCAAGATATTGCTCCGTTTTCTTTCCTTTTCTCTTTCTTCTTTTTTCACGTAATACGACTTCGATTTGGATCCGGGTGGGTTACGGCTTCTCGCGCCGCTCTTATCGAGTTTTCTCTCGCGACGCTATCGGCAAAGTGCCGATCCATTCGTTCTAGGTGCCGTATTAAGGCGATATCATAACGAAATGGAGCGCAAATGTACTCTTCCTTTTGCGGTTCTTCGATGCGATAGATTTTTTTTCTGCGGGCGGCGACCCGCAGGGTCAGTGAACTCACTTTGGCACTCGACAGTTTGCGAAAGGATTCGCGAAGCTGGCGCCGATTTTTTATAAAGCGAGAGATGGAGAGAGAGAGAGGGAGAGACTTCTCCAGCATCCATGAAGGAAAATATATGGTTACTGCAGCTATGTGCGTGACGTATCGATTGTAAGAGAGGCTGATAAAACGGGAAGAAATAGATTTGAAGCAAAAACTTTCCAAATCTTTTATAATACAACATATTTCCTCGACACATAATATTCTTTGTAAATGTAAATAAGAACAGATTTGAGAAAATTAATTATTTAATTAATTAATTAATTAATGAAGTCCTCTTTCGAAATAACTTTCGTTATAATTTTCCATGTTGACAGAAATAATATTAATAATATTATATATAATTCCAGAATAAACTCAACTGCAGCAATTTCTAAATTTATCTATTAGCTCGTGCACATAGATTATAAAACAGTATTTTTAACAAGAAGAGAATTAGATTGGATGTTTACGACTATCGCATGATCACATTGGGTTTATCTCGTTTATCCGTTTCGGCAAAAGTTCGAGGAAGGAGATTAAATCGCTCGCTTATCTCTCGTAGCGTTAATAATTCTTCCTCGGCAATAAGGCCGATTAAAGCTCGCTCCGTCGAGATGCGAATTTATTCCTCCGCTAATATTTCGCGTTCCGGTGAATATTTAATTCGCACGAGGACGGTGTCGCGTGTGCGCGGAACGAGCGAAAAGAAGTGTCGTCGGGACTTATTAACGGTGAGACACGTTGCATTCGCAATTTCGCACGATTACCACCGATTTACACCGCAACGCGGGAGACTTCAAATATTTGTCCGAGACGCGTTTACAGACAGAGACGCGCATTACGAAAACCGGTTCCATTATGCATGCGTCGACGCTGAGCGAAGAGGAGGAGTAGGTGGAAATTGCTTGTGCTTCTCGCCGGATTACGTAAATGGTCTTCGAACCCGGCCGCAATTCGACTCCCGGGAACCGAAGCAAACATTTGCGGCCCGAGATGTTGAACGCGACACGCGCGTGCACCGAAAATGATGCCTCCGTAGTTCGCCGTCTTCGGAGTCGGCGACAAAGTCGAGCTTAATCAGAGAGATTGGGGAAGCTCGTCTCGTCGTGACTAGTAAACCCCGCGATCGGAAAATGATCGTGTCGATCGTTCTCGCCCTACTCCTGTTTTGTCAATCGATCAACATCGGCGGATGCCTCCTGGAGAGCGAGGCTCGTGTAAATAACACGAGCGAGCAAATCTCACAGCGCAGAATAAGAAGGAGTCTTACCTATCCCGATCCGTCCATGCTCCTGGTACGTAATCGATCGATCGGAATTATTATCGATTATAGCTGATAAGAAAGTTGCACGAGTTTGATACTTTGTTGGAAAGAAACAAGTTTGGACGAATTACGCGCATCTGTCAGTAATGTATGGTTATTATGTTGTACTTTTATCGCGATACGCGGATAGACCGGAGCGTCTAGTTTTGATTATTTCGGGTAATTAAAACGGGACCGACCGTTCGTTAAGCTTGTCTGTGAAAATGAATACACACAGCCCTTTCTCTTGCGCACGTGCTCCGCCCTTCGTCGTTCATCCAATTTTCAGGACAGCGTGTTTCCACGCAAACACACCACAACGGTCTCGCATGTCGACGATGGTCTCGGCCTTTGAACAAATGGGCGCGAAGAAAATCGAGCAGCACGAAAATCGTTATTCGCGGCTCGGCTTTTTTCCTGTTCTTTCGACGACATGAGTAATTATTTTCGCCTGCCGCGAATGACGTTGCCGGGAAAAATTATTAGACGGCCGACGTTTTGACAGTTCGGCGCATCATATCTTTTGTGGTTCGTTCAATTTTCGCGAGACAGTCGACTGGAAGGAGGAAAGGGTCGAAAGAGGACTTTTATAAAGGAAATAAACCACAAACACACACGTTACTATATGAGTAGCCTCTCGTGTATGAATTTCGATAAAACCGCGAATTTTCAGGGAAAAATTTGGGACGATGTGTCTGGTGAGGACAGGTTAACGAGATATTCGTCGTAGCTTTTGTACGAGATCGCTGAAGAACGTTTTTACATATCGTGCCTATGAGATTGCCTCGGTGAACGAAATCGATACATTCCACGAGTCGTTGACAGATCACCGGTTGGATGGGAGAGGAAGAACGACCTTCATTATCCGCGCTTTAATTAAAGACAGATCAATCAGACCGACGAGTTAAGTCAGAGAATGGTGTTTGGAGAATGCATCTTCGAGTTTCAATGCGGCAAGCGAGAGTGTTTATTCTTATATATTTACATTAACATTGTGAGAATACTTATATATATCTATATATATACACGAGAAATACTACGTTTGCCCAAGATTAACAAGCTTCCGCCGTAGCTTCGAAATACATTTATTCAGCAAACACGTGTAATGAGAGAATACATCTCGTTAGTCCGTAAACAAACTTTTCATTTAGATTTCGCAGTAGCAGGGTTGTGCCAAAAATTGGACGTATTAAATTCATAATCGAATAAGCTGTAGTTTAAACTTTATTAGAACCCTCTCCACGTGTCATCAAAATATTCCCCCGAGTCTTAAAAATATCACATATTTTTAATCCTTGAAATTTCGTATAACATGTAATAATTTTAATTTATAATCCGACACAATTTTTGCAATAGAGATTTTTAAATTCAACTCGCAGAGAAATCCAAGTTTCTATCGAGATGTATAGTGACTATGATATTAATTCTGGAGAATATAGCTCGTATTTTCCGACGCGAAGGGATTAGTTGCATTCGCGCCGGAATTACGCTCGTACGATACGTTCGCAATCAATTATTCGCGCATAATGTCGGGTGCGAACGGCCGGCATTGTTTACCCGGCAGAAAAGTGGTGAGGGGGAGGAAAGGGGAGAAATACTGCGTGTCGGCTCCCTTTTTTTCGTCGGCGCGCATTTTCTCTTCCGGCGAACGCCGAGATACTCACCGCCCAGATACTCGGCGGCGGAACGCGATTCCACGCGGAAATTTGCGGTTTTATCGGAAATTCATACGAGGGGCGGAGCCCGCATGCGAACCCGACGCGGAAATTGGATGAACTTCGTACGATCGTCCGGGATTCATTGCGAGTCGCCGTTCGCCGTGTACCGGGTGTCCCGAAATAATTCTGCCTTTGTCTTCTTTATTGACTCGTCGATCAATTTGGAGTCGATTTTTCTCTCGAAAATATCAAGACTCGGAGTTATAAACCACATTGAGAAAGAGAAGGCTTCTCGCAAAATAAATCGAAGGAAAGCCAAATAATCAAACTGCGCTCTCCAGTTCATTTCAACGGAGTTTACTTCAATAACAAGTTTTATATCTCGATACTTAGTTATATAACAAGAATTTATATATGTGTGTGTAGTGCGAAAAGTTGAAAAGTTGCGGTAAACGAAGACCTTTCTCGACATTTTCACGAGTAGTCGACTTTAAATCGATCAAAGAATCTGTCTTTAAAGCGATATTCAGTAGATACCTTACATATGAGGAAAAATTATATATAGAGAGGTGCAATAAATAATAAGTTTAAACTACACTTTTACAGCTGATTCTTGGCCTGGGCACTCCGTTGCAGCTGGATCGCGAGAGCATAATCGTGGGTGTGTTCACGAAAATGTGGTACTACATGCCGACCAACGCCACTGATTTCACGGAACCGGGGGTGTATTACACAAGAACCAGCAAAAGCAGGTGGAGTTTTTACAAGGTGTTCGAAAAGATGATGACTATGTACGGTTTTGGCGGTAAAGAGTGTTTGCTAAGAGCTATTTGCGAGGTGGCACATGTTCCGTTTGACATTCACCATGGATTGCTGGGACAGTTGGTGCAGACTTTTCTCAAGTAAGTAAATCATGTTTTTTTTTTTATTTCATACATTTGAATTTCCATCTCGAAATCTGCATTTTTTTAAATACGAACATGATTCTTACAAGAAAAAAATTAAATTGAATTGTATCAGATTGAAATACTGTAAGTGAATCTTTTAGCAAATTTTCTTAATTCTTATTAATCCATTTGATCTTCTCAACTGCGATTCTTTTTTTTTTTACAAAATATTAATTATGAAATATTAATAAATATATATCCTATTATACATATCTTCCTAGATACTTGATTTACAAAAAAATTGTTATCAATAATCGAAGCAGAATTTGAAGCAGATGTTAGTGCAAAAAATCAATTGACCGCGCTGCAATAAAATATCACTGGCGCGTGTCAATTACACGCGAACATAATGTTACAGCAGGAAGGGTATTTAACAAACACCGCATCAAACACATAGCCCGGAGAGTTTCGCCGATATAAACGTATATTTTATTCCGCAATTCCGATATTTCTCAATTCCGATATGTTTGTTCGACGCAACGCAACGCGTTTTCCACGACAAATTCTGCCATTTTTCACGCGCGATCCCCAACGACGAATGTGAAAAAAATTCCATGGAATTCCAGGCCCTCCAGTACCGAGGAAGAATACGACGAGTACGGAGACCGGGAGTACCGGGCGGCCGAACAGCTGGGCGAGCAGGCGGAGAAGGGTGAAAACTGCCACACCCTTTATCCGGAATGCCACAGAAGTGTGCTCGACGTGTTTTCCGGGTTGATCACGTGAAACGGAATGGAAATTTCGACGGGGACGACGAGGCGTCAGGGATACGCTAGGGTTATCGAGATGTCGAATGATATTGAGAAACGTCAGAATCCGAAAGTTTTCAAGCGATATATTATCCAAATAATCTATCAAATATTTTTTGCATATTTTATTTTCGAAGCAATCGGGACGGAAATATCGCGCATTATTTTTCTGATATTATTCTCATTATTATATTCTATTATAATACAGTACTCTTCGTAAGTTTGGAAACGCCTTAAAGAATTGCATGACAGCGATCTGTTATAAATAAAAATATTATTTAAATATTTTACGTTTATTTTATATTTTATTTATACAAAAAATCTGCACGGATCTGTCAAGAGGATCGTCTTAATTTAAGAGAAAAATTATCTAAAGAAATATTCTTTAATTAGATATTCGTAACATAAAAGAATATAAACTTAATAGGATGTTGAAAAATTATTAATTGTGATAACAAAAAATAGTCTTATCAATGGAAATTTGTTATTTATTGCACACAGTACCCTTCACAAATTTGGGAACGCTTTACATTTTACTGTTAAACAATCGCATGGCAGCGATCTGTCATAAATAAAAGTGTCATTTAAATATTTTATGATTTATTGATACAAAAAATCTACACAGATCGTTGCCATACGATTGCTTAACTGTAAAATGTAAGGTGTTTCCAAACTTATGGAGGGTACTGCATATATATATATATAAAATTTGAATGCCAGTTTGGTTTCATTTAATGTGATATATACAATAGTGTCGACAGTTTTTTATTTACAGAGAAAGAATACGTGGTACTTTATTTGTCAATAATAAATCGAACTTCGACGCCGCACTTCAAACGAGATTCCTTACCGAATAATCCATCTCTACTCGATGTTTCGTCGCTTTACGAAGAGATCGTGAAAGCGTTCCTACGTTCTTCAACGTTCCCTATTGGCATTCCTCTCTCTCTCTCTCTCTCTCTCTCCTGATTCGGAGTTTCATTTTCCTAAAAGTGCGCGCGGAAGAAATACAGAGTTTCGGCGGCTGGAATGCCGGCATGCGATATTAAAGGATCTTTGGCATTCGCGGAGCCGATCTGTTCAAGTTTATCGCGGTTTTTTCCGCGCTGCTTCCCGCAAATTCCCGGTATAATCAGCGGAAAGAAAAATTCGTCGAGTCGTTTCCGCTTTCGCGATTTCTTTATGCACGTTTAAAGTTGCGTGGTGAGATATTTTAAGTCACTTCTTCTTTCTTCTACGATCCTTTTTCTAAAATATATATCGCAAAAACAAAATCTTGAAGAGGAAGATTCAGTAAAGTAAAGGCTATTAATTGTCGAGATTAATCGGAAGATGGAGAACGTTTTCGGGGAAAGGATTAAAACTAGTAAGACGTATCCATCTTCGCGTAATATATGCATACTATATATGTATAATATAATATATATGTTAATTGATTCGGTGGAATGACCTTAATTTAGTACGTGTGCATTTACACGCACACGCATACACATTTCCCATAATGATGCGTATTGTAACCGCATCCATATCTATGTGGTTGCACGTGTGGTTACCGGTTAATTATTAGATAATAGAGGCGCGTACCATATATAGTTAATTATAAATAGATATTAATTTAGCCGGTGAACTTGACCTTGGCCGGACAGGAGAAAAATGCGACGTCGCAAAGCACGTGAACGACAATTTCTTACATCTGAAAAGAGAAGGAATTGTATATCCCAATTTTTTAAGACGAGCATACAAAGCTCGAGAATCACGAATAAGAATTTTGGGTAACGCTCGCTTTTGTGAACATAACAAAATATACATCCCTCGTATCTTTCGGGCATCAAAAATATTCTGTAAACGTCTTCTAAACGCGTATATGAGATTTTTGGCATCATTTGTCACGAATTCTTTGACAAAAAACAACGCTTATTGTTTCCATCTCATTATTATCGAATTTTTTTGTCCAGGTGATCTTGCGACAAAAATCCGAGACCCTTTCTTCGCGTTAATATTCCCGGGATGTTGCAATCAATTCAAGGTTCTGGATTCGCGTGGCAACCTGGAAAGCCGTTTTAGCGCGTGTTGCGGCATCGTGAACCGATTTCCTCTCCGTAATCTCCTTTTTTTTATTATTATTATGTCGCACCTCATACAGCTACGCTTCGCTATACCCTTGCGCTCGTGAAAATCTCATCTCCTCGGAGCGTCGCGTAAACACGCGGTCTTATACGCGCCTCGTTTCGCGCGTGGAAACGCTAAACGGGTGTATTTCTCTGGGGTGCACGGGTCGCGAATTTGTTTCGTGACTCACAATAGCCGCTCCTCCGACACTGCGTTGCTCCAAGATATTCTCGAGTTTGCGCGAGTTTGCGCGAGTGTCCGCAGCCGTGAAAGCTAAATTTGATGGGAAAAGTTTGCTTTCTTCGGAAACGGAGAAGGTTCGCCCGGAATTTTCGACCAATGCTCGCATTTCTATTCGTTCGCTTGCCGAGACCGAGATAATGTATGCACCTTGTAATATCACTAGGATATCTGACATCTGCTCTATAACATGTCGGTAAAATCTATTTTTGATTAATGTCTCAAGAGAAAGGTCGAAAGCAGAGAAACTCGAATAATATTAATTACAAATTGTTATTAATTTTAATATTTGCAATTTGTGTCATCGTAATCAGTTATGTTAAAAATTGGAACGATTCGTCATTATTATTGTTGAATAATTCATTTTCAATTAATTATAATTATGCAACAAATGTATTTATTACAATTAATCGTCCAATAATTATAAATTATAAATGTGATTGATAATATGTAACGAGTAGATTATACAATTTTATTAGTTGGTTTTTCCCTCAAAAAAGCTTTCTGCGAAAGGAAGGCTTACTATTTCTTTCATCGACATAAAAATGACACTAAATTTACGGATTTCTCCCCAATTGTCGATATTATTGGATATAACTTCCTTGTTTCGAATTTTTCGACGTTTCTACGAGGTATCGAGATATTTTCGTGCTTCTCATTCGACTGGATACACTTGTCTCCGAGGTCGGTCGTAGTGAATAGAAACGATTTATTGCCGCGCGACATACGCTCTGCGACGCCAATATTTTCCCCTTCTCTCCAATCCCTCGGGAGGAAGTATTACCTGACATTGGGTGGAGATTGCAAGTTTGCTTGTCGGCAAAAAAATTTGCATGGATATGATGGCATCATTTCGATTCGATCGATTGACAGCTCGGGAAATATTCGATGTGTAGACGCGCGAATTGCTGTCGTCACTGGCGACACATCATTTTTTTCTACACAAAAGCCAAGAATTTTATAACGCAACTAATTGTAAGATTAAAGTAAATCACGGTAATTTTTATTGTGTGTGTCTCTTTAGAGATATTTCATCTTGATAAACAAAATGCATTTTAACAAAAATAATCTGTCCACTTCTGATCTAATATATGTATAAATAATAATTTTAAATGAATCGATTAGTATTTTAATACTTTACAAACAAAAATCGATATTTTAATCTTTATTTTATACATATAATATAATATTAAAATAAATAAATGTGGAGAGAGAAAAATGATTTAAAGCATATATTAAAAATAAATTGCTATTTATGAAAACAAACTGTTCTCTTTCACATCAAGAGGGATTTTGATACTCGTGAAAAACATCCGGACATTTTGAAAATAATATAATCTTTTTTGAGAATACAACTCTTAAAATAAATAAATGTAAATATTTTATGTGTCTATATGTATATAAAATGTTCTCTTGCATAATAAAATATAGTTGTTCTGCATACACAAAAAATATACAATTGTATCTCGTAAATTTTTTGATATTTTCTACAATATTCGCACGATAAAAACACAAGTTATTAGCATTTTTGAGAGATTTTCAGCTATAACAACTGCTAAATGGTAAATATGTCAAAATCTTTCACATGTTGAAAAATATCTCTAAATTTGCTCTTAATTAACCTTCCTATTCATAGCAATTTTACTTCGATATCTCGATTTTGCCTTAATAAATGTACCACTTATTCCAGATCGTTGCTTCGCATCTCTCGAGATTTTCGCTTCGCTTTCAGGCTTCAATATCGCATCACTACCATCCGTATAAATTAATCGCAGCGCATCCAATTCTGTCTTGTTCTCTCCCTCTCGAGCCTCACTACACATCCTCCTCTCACCATCGCTATTTCGCCCTTAAATTTTTCGCCTCGAATTCGATGAAAATCTCTCTCTCTCTCTCTCGAGAAAGAGAGAGGAAAATTCGAAGCGAAGGCCTCGAGCCCTGACCGTTGTCCGAATTATTTCGGAGAGGCGATTTTGCGAATCAATTTGCAAAGCGCGAGATAAAAAGGAAGGAAATACGTATAATCCTATCTCTCGCATTGACACGCGCTCACGTAAAACGTTACGTGACGTATCTCGTCGGCATCAGTTATGAAAACTATGGTCTCATCTCGCGAACTTCGCTTTCCCGAGGCGGGTTGTCGGAACTAAAATTGTATTTTCAATGACCGGAAGCGGTAGGGAGAGTTAAATGGCGCCGTTGCGCCAGTGGTTGTTGACAGTGAGCGTCGGCGAGGATATTTGTTCAACGGGGGTGGAGGGGTTGAAATTGGGAGGGAGGAGAAATGGCGTGTTGTCTTATTTGCCGCGCGTTGCTGCGCGAAATGTTGCTACTCGTCTGGTACGAAGCGTCATCCACTTAAAGCTACATCGCATCGAGCGTTGAAGATTCTACGTGAGAGTTGTTGACGCTGTTACGAGGCCTTTGGCAATCTCTGTCAGTGATGGATATTTCATATTTTTTTCTTCGAAAGTTCGAAAACTCACAATCAGAGAGACACGCTCGAGTAATATATGGAACTGACTTTATCCAAGCGAAAATCATCGACAATTTTTATGTGAAGAGAGTTATTTCTGTTATAAAAGTGATCGGAAATAGTTTACACTCTTCGCGAATTAACGTAACATTATCAATATACAAGAGAAATAGAAATTAGGAAAGATAGAAGGGTTACACGATGGGGGGAGAATATATATATATATATATATATATATATATATATATATATAATCGTTTATATAATATTGAAAGAATATTTTAAAGTTAATCGATAGTTGATATTCCAATATTGAAACCAATACGCTTGGATTATTCACATCTGTGAACGAATAATAAATTATTCCAACTAAATTGTGATATTGCACAATTTTATCGATGATCAATTATTCCCTCTTTGTGTTGAATAATTTATATTCGTCGATAAATTCAAAAATTAAAAATTGATACGAGAAACACAATACTTATAAAAACGACTTTATTGTTGTAGTTAACTTTATTGCGCGATAAAGTGGAAATAAATGATAGAAATAATACAATAATAGAAATTATAATCAAAGCCATAGAATTTAACTTGTATTAAAAATTATTTTCAAAAGTTCAAAATCACGCTAAAATTTAAAACATCAAATATTTGATATATTTTCATATCGCATTAAAAAATTTTGCATTGCATCTCCTGCACTGTATAAGTATTTTTTTTTTTATAGATCAATTATAAGGATAGAGAAAACGGAGTAAAAAACGTAAAGTCAACGTAAGCTTTTCAAAATAGTACGGTATCTTCTATGAAATCAACTACAACGAGAACTCTTCTATGCAATTCGCGTTTCCGGCGGTGGTAATCAGAGAAAATAAACTAATAAAGAGAGAGAGAGAGAGAGATACTTATCCCTTTGCTCGGTTAACCATCTTTTCTTCCCTTCATCCAGGACGTTATACACAAGCAGAAATGCATATCGCGCGTTTTTCGCCTTCTACAAAGGGTCGCACATTGTTGCTGAAACGAAGTTGTTGTGTGTCGTCCGCCCCAACTCATTTTGAGAGCTCATCTGAGAGATTTCATCTGTCGCGCATAGAGGCGGAAACTAAATAACGCGCGGCGGTAGTGAAATGTCAAAGTCGCGGCTTGATACATAAGTGCTTATCCAATGTACCTTCCTTGTATGACAAGGAACTAAATCAACATCCGTCGAGTAGCCCGCGTTATCTCTACACACGAAGAGGATAAAAATTATCAAACATTTTTAATCGCGAGTTTTCTCAAGACATATTTTCAACATTAAAATGTAGAAATGTATCCATACATGTGCTTTCGCATTTCTCTCGGTGTAGAGAATCTCTCGCTCTGATGGAATTATAAATTATTCGATCGTATATCCCCGTGGATATGCGAATTCGATATTCGAATATCCTGGAAAGCCAACGTCTGGATATCCGCGACGTCCATCTCGCGCCGGCAATTCGTAATTCAACGAATGATTAACCACCCTCCCAGACATTTCGTCGCGCGTGTAACCTTCGTTTCGCGTCGCGTGCGTGGATTTTCGACGGATTACAGAGGACGCGGCGTCCTGTAATATAACTGCGGATGTTCGCGCGAACATCCGCATAGCGATTACAACCTCGGAATCCATTCGTATATTTGCTCCGATTGTTACGATCCGTCTGTAAATTCGCGAACACGCGGATTTACGCCGAATTTATGCGACGATTCAATTTCTTCCTTCCTGTCGATGTTGTGCGAAAAAATTGACACAATTCTCTTTCCCTTCTTTTTTACGAAAATTTAATTGGAACCGTAAAAAGGTATTCCAAGAGAAATGTATGTCGGCAACCGCGAAATGCAATCTTTCAAAGATTTCGAGGAAATACTTCGTCAATTCGCGTTTGCGATCGACTTACAAATCCAATTCGAGACTTCTGACGCGAGTACTTATCTTCCGCGAAAATATTATTAGAATTGACAATGTCCCTCGTACTTGCCGGCATAAAGGATGCTGTTATTACTTCACCCTCGGGCGAGCATCGATCCGATGTAAGTTTCAATTTAATAGCGCATTTCCAATCAACAAAGCTTTACCCTACGAGAAGGTTCCGGACGAGCGCAATTTTCTCGGAGCACACAGTTTTTCTCGGATCAGAGATTCCCGCGGCCATTCTTTCCGAGATGTTGTATTGGAGTCTTCCTATATCTACTACACGTCTCTCGGCTTTTGGCGATAGATTTATTATCTGCAATAATTTCACCGAGTAAATTATTAAAGTAGCGTTACATACAAAATTTTGATTAAATGGCGACGTTGAAGATTTTCCTTATCCAATGTAATGTAATCATGCATCGTGTGTAAGCAATCTCGTTAATGATGTAAATACGATATCTAAAATGTGGTTCACACATGAGAGATGGAGAGAAGGACGTGTGACGTCGGATTTTTGCCTCAGATGAGATTTTAATTCAACTTCGGCCGTTAATCCCCGCCGGTACGGAAACGAAATTAATTAAAGCTGCTTAACGGATAAGACGGGCAATTATTGGATTTACAACGCTATCGCTTGCCAAGATTAAACCTGGTATACGCCGATGAATCGCCCGGCGGCGTCGCCGGCATCCACGGCTTGATGTATAGCTGCGTGTTGTGCCTCTACACGAATTTCTTTCTTTTCGTGCATCCGCCATGTTTAATCGTGTCGTGGATTTTCTCTTTTTTTCCCGCCACTCGCGCGCGATTAGAACGAAAGTTCGATTATTTTTTCAAATGTCTGTCTGCCGAAGCGTCGATTTATTCTATTCACAGGAATAGATAGGCGTTTATATTTTAATCGAGCGAATGAATAAACGCAAAAGAAAAACACAAAATTTTTATTTAATAAAAAATTTATATATATGTGGATAAGTATACCGTTTGTAAAATTTAAGAAAGGAAAGATTATTTTTTTAGAAATTGTCTGCCGATAAAACGTCGATTTGTTTTACTTGCGGGAATATGTAAGTATTCAGATTTATTCGAGCGAATAAATAAACACAGAAGAAAAACAATATTTGATAAAAAAATATATGCACATATATGTGACTAAGTCGTATAAAATTTAAGAACAAAAAATCGATTATTATTTCATAAATGTCTGCCGAAGCGTCAATTTGTTCTACTTACAAGAATATATAAGCGTTTAGATTTTAATCGTGCGAATGAATAAACGCAAAAGAAAGACACAATATTTGATAAAAAATTTATATTAATATATGTGGATAAGTATATCGTTTGTAAAATTTAAGAAAGAAAAGGTTTTTTTCGTAACTTGTCTGTCAAAGCGTCGATTTGTTCTACTTGCGGGAATATATAAGTATTCAGATTTATTCGAACGAATGAATAAACGTAGAAGAAAAACAATATTTGATAAAAAATATACATACATATATATGAATAAGTCGTTCATAAAAGTTAAGCACGAAGAATCGATTATTTTTTCATAAATGTCTGCCAAAGCGTCGATTTGTTCTACTTACAGGAATATATAGGCGTTTATATTTTAATCGTGCGAATGAATAAACCCAAAAGAAAGGCACAATATTTAATAAAAAATTTATATATATATGGATAAGTATCGTTTGTAAAATTTAAAAAAGGAAAGATTATTTTTTCGTAACTTGTCTGTCGAAGCGTCGATTTGTTCTACTTGCGGGAATATATAAGTATTCAGATTTATTCGAGTGAATGAATAAACACAGAAGAAAAACAATATTTGATAAAAAATATACATACATATATGTGAATAAGTCGTTTATAAGAGTTTAAGAACGAAGAATCGATTATTTTTTCATAAATGTCTAACAAAGCGTCGATTCGTTCTACTTACAGGAATATACATATAAGCGTTTAGATTTTAATCGTGCAAATGAATAAACTTAAAAGAAAGACACAATATTTGATAAAAAATTTATATATATGTCGATAAGTATCGTTTAAAAATTTAAAGAAAGATTATTTTTTCATAAATTGTCTGTCGAAGCGTCGATTTGTTCTACTTGCGGGAATATTTAAGTATTCAGATTTATTCGAGCAAATGAATAAACACAGAAGAAAAACAATATTTGATAAAAAATATACATACATATATGTGAATAAGTCGTTTATAAAAGTTTAAGAACGAAGAATCGATTATTTTTTCATAAATGTCTAACGAAGCGTCGATTCGTTCTACTTACAGGAATATACATATAAGCGTTTAGATTTTAATTGTGCGAATGAATAAACCTAAAAGAAAGACACAATATTTGATAAAAAATTTATATATATATCGATAAATATCGTTTGAAAATTTAAAGAAAGATTATTTTTCATAAATGTCTGCCAAAGCGTCGATTTGTTCTACTCGCGGAAATATATAAGTATTCAGATTTATCGAGCGAATAAATAAACCCAAATAAAGACAATATTTAATAAAAAATTTATATATATATATGGATAAGTATCGTTTGTAAAATTTAAAAAAGGAAAGATTATTTTTTCGTAACTTGTCTGTCGAAGCGTCGATTTGTTCTACTTGCGGGAATATTTAAGTATTCAGATTTATTCGAGCGAATGAATAAACACAGAAGAAAAACAATATTTGATAAAAAATATACATACATATATGTGAATAAGTCGTTTATAAAAGTTTAAGAACAAAGAATCGATTATTTTTTCATAAATGTCTAACAAAGCGTCGATTCGTTCTACTTACAGGAATATACATATAAGCGTTTAGATTTTAATCGCGCGAATGAATAAACCTAAAAGAAAGACACAATATTTGATAAAAAATTTATATATATGTCGATAAGTATTGTTTGAAAATTTAAAAAAAAATTATTTTTTCATAAATTGTCTGCCGAAGCATCGATTTGTTCTACTCGCGGGAATATATAAGAATAAATAAGATTTACTCGAGCGAATGAATAAACTTAAAAAAAAAAAATATATTTGATAAAAATACGTACATATATGTAGATAAGTATTGTTTACAAAATTTAAAAACAAAGAATCCATTATTTTTTCGTATATACGTCTGTCGAAGTGCCGATTTGTTCAACTTGCAGAAATATATAGGTATTTATATTTACTCGAACGAATAAATAAACACAAAAGAAATACACAATATTTGATAAAAAATCGACATACAAATATATGGATAAATATCGTTTGTAAAATTTAAAAAACGAAAGATCGATTATTTTTTTTTCTTACACGTCTGTTTGTCGAAGCGTCGATTTGTTCCACTTATAGGAATATATAAGCATTTATATTTTATACAAGTGACTGAATAAATGTAAAAAGACAATATTTGATAAAAAGTGCGCATACTTATATGTGGATAAGTATTGTTTATGAAATTTAAAAACGAAAAATCGATTATTTTTTCGTAAATGTTTGCCGAAGTGTCGATTTGTTCTACTTGGAGCAATATATAGGCGTTTAGATTTTAATCGAGCAAACGCGAATAAACGCAAAAAGGCAATATTTGATAAAAAGTTTACGTACATATATGTAGATAAATATCGTTTGTAAAATTTAAAAACAAATGATCGATTATTTTTCGTAAACGTCTGCCGAAGCATCGATTTGTTCTACTTGCAGGAATATATAGATGTTTAGATTTAAATCGCGCGAATAAATAAACGCAAAAATATTTTTTTAAAATATTTTTGCGTTTATATATATATATATATATATATATATATATATGCGATAAATATTATTTTTAAAATTGTATTTTTAAATAAAATATTTATATTCTAAATCTATTTTCCATCTTGTTACAGCAAGGCGAGCGATTAACTTCCACCTTTCCCTTCGAGATATGTACAACGTCGATAAGTTTCTAACGGGGAATGAGAGAAAAAATTCATAAAGCAACTAAAGTTTTCGATCGCTCGTAATATCTGATCGAGAACGTTTGCCAGGTGCAAATAGCGGTTCGCGTTTCCTGAACTCCACTTCGCGACTCATTATCGCGTTCTCGCAAACTCGTCGATACGTCGTGAAATAAGAAAACGAACGTTCGTCCACGGTTCGTTGACCAATGATGGTCAATCCGCGTGAATTACTGAGTACAGAATTAAATAAGAGCACCTCTCTCTTTCCAAGACGCTTCAAGTCGACACCGATACCGACGAACATCCATCCGTCATGTCGCGGCTGTTTTTATGGGTATTCGTATCCTTGGTTGGCTTTTGGGCGAATTTTTGCGGATGCCGGGCGATATTGCTGTTCCCCGAGTATACCCCATATCAGGTATCTTTAAAATTTTTCGCTAGTTTTGCACATGTACTTCAAAAGAATTCACCGAGTTAGAATGTTCCATTTTTATTGTTTTTCGACGCAGCGCGCGCATCTCTCTCCCTCGAGAAAAGCTTTATATTATTTAGAGAAATTATATATATATAAACATACATATATACACATATACATATACACACACATTCTGTTAACGTGCCGCGAGCGTTCTTATAGCGTTGTAGATGCTGTTAGGTAAAAAAATCTGTTATTACGCAATATTTACGTTGTTTTAAAAATAAATAGAACTTTAATAAAAAATTGTGAAGAGAAAAAAGGCCACTTTTTTGGAATACATATATAATATTTGCATATTATTTTTTTAAATTGAACCAATGAAACAATGAATATTAAAAGTTCGCGTATCAGATATTGTTTTTATAATGCTATGGATTTATCTTTAAACTCGCAGTTTGACGATAAAAAATTTCTCCGCATCCCATATGTCCACAGAAGAAATTGCGCTCGTGCCGAAATCGCGATAGGCTATTAAAATGATATTTAGCTGCGGGTACCAATTGTTACAAGGGCTTTTAGTTTGCCCCTGCGGTTCACGCGAAACGAAAATACTACCGCTCTGTCGTCGCATTAAATATTTATTTGCAAGCAGTCGCAACACTAATTGACGAATTTAGCAATCCGACTCGACCAAAGGTCAATTATTGTCTCCCTCTCTCTCGGAAAAGTTCTTTCACCCTTTGAAACATTTATACTTTGATTTGTCTTACACAAAAGTCGCTTCATTGAATTATTAATATAAAAATAAGAGATGTTATAAGGCAATATACATTTACACACGCATCATCTACCTCTCAAATTGAACATGAGGAATATTATTGTTCGACAGTTTACCCTGGGTATCTCGATGCCGGTGCTGATGACGAAAAGGGGCAGCATCGGCTTCAACGTGGGATATCAGCTCAATTTCGCTCTACCTTGGAATGTGTCGCAGTTCGAACCGACGATAATTTCTGCGAGACACGTTAGGGATCTCGATTTGCAGGAAACTTACGTCGCCATTGAGAATCTGCTGGACGAGTGAGTTGTCAAATTTTTTTAAAGGAAACTCCGTCGCGCGAGACGCAAGACAGATTCTATCTGTCATGATCTTGATGAGAGAAACGAAGAGCCATCGAATCACGCGGTTGTCTAATTCTTGTTCGCGTTAATTAAATTTTGCGAGAATTAAACGAGAGAGAGAGAGAGAGAGTCGAGACATAAGAGTCGCCGATATATCAATTGATTTCAATCTGTACGACACTTACAGCGCTATCGAGATTGGCTGAACGAGCGAATTCTGTCGCTTTCTCTTTCTCTCTCTGTCCCTCTTTCTCTCTCGTTATTTCTCCACCCATTGCCTTTTGTTCACTTTCATACACGCGATCCGGGAACAAGCGCGCAATTTTGCTCGCATTTTCCCACTGTCGAATTTGCACAATGGGCAGTCCAGAGACGATTTGAATTTTGAATCGGAAGAACAAATGCCGCGCATTACGCAGACGAAATTGCTCGATGAATCAGTAAACATGGCAGAAGCTGGCGCGAGCGCGAGTAAATTCGTAATTAACTTAAACTCTACTGCTGTGTATATCAGTAGTGGCCGTTTATTGAAATCATATTTCTGCCAAGGTAGAGAGACAATGGTTCTTTTTTTTCTTTTGTAATGGTTCACCTTTCGGGCAAAGCTCCAAAAGTCGATACTGAGATTATCGAATAAGGAACACAGCACATTAGCGTTTTCGTCACTGTCAATATTTTTGAAATTTTCATACATTTTTTCGCATCTCATTTATATATACATATATACTTCATAATAATATCGAACTTGTCGATGATAAAATTAATTTATCGAGGGGACATGTCACAGTTTTTTTTTTTATATAAATTATTAATGTCAATTTTATATATTCGTTTTCCACGCAAACGCGTTTATTCAGCATTCGCCTTAATTCAAAATTGACAAAAGGATGACTAAAGCCGCGTTGAAATTTAGAGATATTACGATTCTCTCGAGGTTTAATTACAGCTATTAAATTAAACATAGAACGGTATATACGTAGTTGCAATTCGATGCGAACTCTGTCAACTACTTTCAACGACAAAGGAGAGCGTCTCTCCTTACTTTCTATCACTCACACCTTCGTCCTGTATAAGCGAAGCGTCGTCACTCGCAGGATCAAAGGGCGGCGCAGGAACGGCGACTCGAACATAAATTAATTGGGACGCAAGACTATTACTCCGCTGGGATACAGGATCGTATAATGCAGGTCGTACGTGATAAATGAGAAACCCGCCTTCTGAGATATCGCGTATAAGAAGGAACCAATCAATAATGGCGAGTGCAATAATTTCGCGGATATCGAAGAAAAGAATGATTTCGAGAAACAATATTGATGCAAAATTTTTCAAATTTTTTTTACGAAATAAAATACAAAAAGTTGTAAAATATCAATCTTATATCGATATAATTTCGATATAATACAAACTCTTGTCGAACATTTTCAAATTTTCTTTCCATTTTGCATCGTTCATCAGAAGATCCTTAATTAATCGTCATAAAATAAAGACCGAATATATATATATATATTTTTTTTAAATTTTAAAATTAATTATAATTAATTAATTAATTAATTAAAATTAATTTTAAAATTAATGTAAAATTTTTAACAAATTTTAAAATTAAAATTTTTTTTGGTTTTGTTTTTTATTTTATTTTTCTTTTCTAAGGATAGTTTTTCGTTTGATTTAAAGTATAAGTGCCTACCTTCATATTTTTGACATTTTGATATAAGAGTTTAGGAAATAAGTCTAATAAATAATATAATTAAAGCTATATTTTTTTAATTTGTTGGTTCTGAAGATATAATACTGTAAAAGGTTTCAAATTAAGACAGGTAATAATAAAACCATTTATTTTTATCTATATGTTTTTTATTTTTGGTGTTAATAAAAATGAAATTAAGTTTATCTAATAAAAGGCGGTATCTCATATTAGGAGACCTTTTGGTTTTGATACAAAAACTGACTTACTTTAATCAAACTTATGTATATTAAAACTCGAACGAGATACTTTCCTAATTGCATATATTTTGGAAATAATTAACAAAATGTAAATGGTATCTCATAATCGATACCTTTACCCTATATATATATATATATATATATATATATATATATAAATTATCGCTCGTGTAAATTCTTTTTCGCTTCTTGCGAATTTCCGTAGCAAACGTTTAATGAAAAGTCAACGTTTTTGCTTTTTCTCTCTCGACTGCTTGTCAAAGATTTCGTTGCCGCTTTGACAGAATTAGTCGGTGTAAGTCGGATTAAAATAAAGAAGAATCGCGGAGCGTGACGAAAGAGAAAGAAGAATATACATCGCCCAGGCAAAGTAAGATTTAATGTTGACTCTTTAGACACGGCTGGCGGGATGGCAGGCAGTGCCTTTTGAGGACCATTTGCGAGCTCGCGGAGACGCCCCTTCGCAGGATCCAGGACCAGGACGTCCTCGAGGAAATGATTCACTTAATTTTAACGTAAGTCAATTCCGATGTTTCGGCAGTCGCGCTTTGACTTCCGTCGAAAGATGAAGTGTACATCCGTATGATGTACACCGGAAACGAGATTTATTATACCGGAAGAGTCGCGAATAATGAATTCCCTTGGAAGTCACTAATGGTCGCGGCGTGCATTCGTTGGAAATAATGTAAAGGCTCTCTCCGCTCTCTGAGATATTTCTACAGCTAATGTAAACTCCCTCTTTCCCCACCGTAAAATGTAGGTTAACAAGATGCAAAAATTGCAGATTCTTCTCCATTCTGCTGTATTACGGTACCGGCTATTATAAAGTTTTAATATACGATTTTACAGATCCTTGATATCGAAGTTCCCAACTCAAACTATATCGAATCTCTCGAACTTCATAATATAACGCATTGAAAAATTTGTACGAAAAAACATAAATATTAAAAACCTATTTGCCGATGAGAGATTTATATAAAAGCGTACACAGAAAAAACAGTATCATTGAGAGAATGCAAATATGCCTTGATTCAAGTATATTTTATCCTTATAATAGCGCCAAATATAAATAATTTTGGATAAAGGATAATTTATCCTTAAAACAAAGTGCAAAATATTCTTGGTTGAAGCTGAAATTTACTTCTAAATATTGCAAGGACAAGTGTGCATCGGATATAAGGGTACTTTCAAATATATATAATAATTCTTAGTTCAAATGTGACTAAGTTTGTTTTCACCATATGCGATTTTTAAAATAAGAATATATCTTAAGGATAAAATATACTTTACACAAACTTATTTATTATTAAGGCAAATGAAAATTTGTGATTACAAAGAGTATTCTATGCTTAAATCAATCAAATAGCGTTCAAGAATAAAAATATACTTGAATCAAGGATTCCTTTTTTTCTGTGTAGATATACATATATTACATATACGATACTGTAATCATTATCAAGACGTGTATCGAACTATAATATCGCTCGAATAAATGGCTCGCCTCGAGATCTCTCTTCCTCTCGCGAAGTTTCATTTTTCGTAAAGTGATTTTTGAACTCTTGACGGACGGTAAATTTTCTCACGAAGTAAAATTTCTTATGCCACTCATGCGCGGTAGTAAGTCCTAATTGATCGTCAATCGAGCAGCGCCGGGGTGGCAGTTACATCATGTAAAATATTCGCTCTCGCGTTCTGTAGGGAGCCACTGAATTTGCTATTCCGAACGCGCGTTTCACGTCCGCGTGTGTTCGAGGGAAATTGCGCTCCCGAGCTAACACCAGCGCGCTAATTGCAACAAAGTTAGGCGCGTACATTAAGTTTCTAATGGAAGTGTTTCGCCTAGGAAGGTTTTCGCCGGGCTTTACTTTGCGCTATCCCTTCGCAGCCGCTCCCTGGGGAATTTCCCTTCGAAATAACCCAACGAAAATGCCGATGAATGTAATTGCGTATATGCCTGAGAGAAAGAGATATAGGGAGACGAGGAGAGCTCCGGAGCGAAATATATAAGCCTTGTTGTCAAATATATTTCGCAAATTAATACCGACGAGCCATTAATTGCTGAGCGCGAGCACGCAAATTACCGAGATTCGTCGAAAATCCTAGGGCATCAATATAGAGATTCCGGTTGGTTCAACAATATACGAGAGTGGCAGAATAAATTATAATATTTTACTTATAAATATACACATGTAGATTACATGTTCGATATCAACATTTTGCAATTTTGATACGATGTGACTCTATCGCATGAATAATTTACATTTTAAAAAATATATTAATATATTAAAATTTTTATTCTACTTTTTCACTTATTACCTATTATATTATAGAAAAAAAATATATATATATATATTATTTATATATAAAAAATAAAAATATATTTCTAAAATATGTGTCCTAAAGTGAAATAGGTATTTTGATGTAACGATTTGCAATGATCGAAATGGGATACAGAAGTTTTCGAAGTAACAAGTGCCTCTTTAATATATTAAAATTTTCATTCTACTTTTTCACTTATTATACATTATAAAAATATATATATATATTATTTATATTAAAAATATTTCATGTCCTAAAGTAAAAAAGGTATTTTGATAACGATTTGCAATGATCGAACGGGATACAGAAGTTTTCAAAGTAACAAGTGCCTCTTTAATATATTAAAATTTTCATTCTACTTTTTCACTTATATACATATATTATACATTATAGAAAAAAATATATATATATATTATTTATATATAAAAAATAAAAATATATTTCTAAAATATATGTCCTAAAGTGAAAAAGGTATTTTGATAACGATTTGCAATGATCGAAACGGGATACAGAAATTTTCGAAGTAACAAGTGCCTCTCCGAAATACCTCGATTCAAAGATACCAAATAACGCCGGGATTTGAATAAGACTCGCTGAGAGAAGATTTTAATCGGAATCTCTTTTCGACAGGCCAACGGAGGACTCGCCGTTAGCGATTAATTCCAGTCACCGAAGCGTCAACAAATTGTATCAGGAAGCCGAACGATTGGGTAGCTCTGGCGGCGATTGCATCCTAACGTATCCGGATTGCGTCAAGTCACCGTTGGAATCGTTTACCGAGATTGTATTTCCTTGAGTAATCGAATCGCCGCGACTTCGTTTTCTTCCGGTTTAAGACGCGGCTTCAATTACATCGCTGTGTCGCGCGTTTTCGATTATAAACGCGTTAGTTTTCTTCCGTTCAGTTTTGCATCTCGGGACACGAGCAGCGTGTATCCTACGGAATTTTGTCTTCCACTAAGCGATCTCGACGCGTGTGACGGATGGGAATTTTATCATGAGATGGAAGCTTGATGCAATATACGAGCGTCTAAACGCGACAAGTTTTAATTTCTTGATATTTATATCCTTCTTTTAGCTTTTAAATAACTTAAAATTGTGTATCGTTGAAGCAATATGTTTTATTTGTTATGTTGTATTTTTTTTATATAGACATTTAAAAATGTAAGCAGGAAATTTTTAATACAATAAAAATTTGTGGCTGTCAAAGAAACGTAGCCCATACATTTTAAATTTCGTTACTTTCATAAATCCTACAGTTTTATATCTGCATTTTTAATTGCACAAGAGAGCATATAAATATATGTAAAAATAAATATAAACTTATACATTGAGTTTATTTATATTAATATGTGTTAACGCGAATAAAATTTCTAAAACGTTACCGCGCGCAGTTTAATTAAATTTAAGAGAGAATCGTTTTCTTTTATCAGAGAATTTTTATCAAAAGTATTGATGATTGAACGGTCGTCGTAAGGCTATAATGCACAAACACACATACACACACACACACACACACATAAAAGGCGGAATGAAAAGAGTGGTAAATAAATTTAACTCTCGGGTTTCGCTTGGTAAGATATCTCGAGAAGCGATATACCACAGCGACTGATTTCTTTTCTCGTACGTATATATCTATCTGCTCTTTATCTGGATTCGTAAATACCGTAGCCCTCTTTCCCCTTTGCTTTATCCTCCTTCCTCTTCCGTTCCCTTTTCGAGCCCGCTATCTTTCACCGTCTTTTCCTTCCGCGTGTCTCGCAACCGTCGAAGGTTACGTACGTATTTGGTACTTGATGCGCAGCCACACGGAGGATCTTTCACTCTGGTGAAAGATCCAGCAACGCGCGATAGTTACCCGAACCATGATGGAGTGCGCCCGATCACGCACTTTCGCATGTGCTATCGCTCGCACGTATAAAGCGCCCTAGAATTGGTGGAATAGACCCATAACGTTATCCCTTGCGAGATTTAAGGTCGATCTTTGTTGGCGAGTATCGAAGGATTAATGATCCCTTTTAGCTATAATACGATAGAAGTTTTACGTGGATTTTTTTTAATTTTCAGAGATAAGAGAAAATAACACAGAAAAAACAGTATTCTTGAAAGAATGCAAATATGCCTTGATTCAAGTATATTTTATCCTTATAATAGCGCCAAATGTAAATAATTTTGGATAAAGGATAATTTATCCTTAAAACAAAGTGCAAAATATTCTTGGTTGAAGCTGAAATTTACTTATAAATATTGCAAGGACAAGTGACAAGTGAGCATCGGATATAAGCGGTACTTTCAAGTATATATAATAATTCTAATAGTTCAAATGTGACTAAGTTTGTTTTTACCATACGCGATTTTTCAAACAAGAATATATCTTAAGAATAAAATATACTTCACACAAACTTATTTATTATTAAAGAAAATTTGTGATTACAAAGAGCATTCTGTGCTTAAATCAATCAAATAGCGTTCAAGAATAAAAATATACTTGAATCAAGGATTCCTTTTTTTCTGTGAAGTAATATTTTTTCGAGAATTAATTTTAAGCGGACGTTATTTTTAACTGCATTTTAATTTCGCCGCAAAGATACGCGTTGCCTTCAAAATTAAAAGCTTGATGACAAGGTAATTTCTTTGCTGCGCATTTTCATGGAAAGAGAAAAAGAAAAGAGACTCTGCGTGTAACAGGAGAAAGATTGTCGTTCAAAGGGATTTATATAATTACGAAAAAAAAAAAAAAAATTCTACTATTATTCTATTCCTCTATTATTAAAAAAACGTATTTTTATAAAGAGAAGGTGTTTCTAATTTTATAACTTAATTTGAAGTAATTTACGTGCAAACATGAGATTCTTTTTACAAGAGCACTTTAACGTGACCTAATTTTATGCCCTCTCTGCGCTTTCGGGGTTCGTATTGTGCAGCGTTTCTAGTGTTAAACATATTACGCTCCTGGGATTAACGGTTACATTTGCGATAATAGTTACAATAGAATGGCGCGCTGGAGGGTTACATGTACGGTTGGAGCTAATTAATTAAACAATTAACTATTCGCAGGTAACGTTATGCGCAATTTTCTCAACGAAAGAAACAGAGTAAGATGCTTCCTGACACTGCGCATTCATCTTCCCCAGTGTCCTTCTCTATATGAGAGAGAAAGAACCAAGAAGACTTTTTCTCCGTTTACCATCCAATTTTGTTCAACCGCTTTATTGTCTTCTTCTCGCTTCTATCTTCATTTATCTCCATTTTTCCCACCCTTAATTTTTCGTCCGAAACACCTCGAGTGGGAAATATCGGACGTAAGATTACTCTCGCGTTATATTGTGCGTTACATAATTTCATTATATAGCGCATCGATTAAAACTTTGCGATTCATTAACTCCACGGAGATTCACCCTCTCGGGAGACGTAGAATAATGATTTCTTTCTTTAACTCATTTAGTTTCACGTCGGTTTACATTCTCTCCTCCGTCTTCCACTCTCATCTGCATCGCCTCTCTTTCGATCCTATCTTTGCATTATTCCATTTTCCTCCACCCTTTCTCTGCCCACTAATGCCACCCCTTCTTCGCGTTTCTAGGGGTAGAGCTTTAAGACTTGAACGTGTAATCTTCCTGTTTCAAAACTTATTCCGCGCCCTTTATCCGGAACTTGTCGCGAGCATTCTCACCTGGGACGGGGGTAGTGACAACTTTCAGCAAACAGTGATTACAAAGGCAGAACTGACAAACATTTGAAGCAAGAGAGGGCGAACAGTAGATTGCCATCTATCTCTCGCGACGGTATCCGGCTGTTACTTTCCGAGCGCGTTTTCGCCGCGGCATTGTTCGGAGTGGGGACTTGACATTAACTTTAACTAATGTCATACTTACGGAGGAAAGCTTTATTCCGCAATACAACACTGTTATACGCGTGTTATACACGTCGGCTCTCTTGCGCGGACGCACGCGGAAGTGATAAGATTTAATTTGAGATTGCATTTAAGCGAGAGAGAACAGACGCACGCGGTATGTTAAAAATAATTTGCGTAACGATGATTAATTGATGCCCGACATTGCGCGTGTCTCATTTCGCTTGTGAGTACAACGTGTGAAAAAAAAAAAAGCGACGGAGTTATAAATTACGCGAGAGCGTAAGTAGATAAAATATAATTCAGGCGGAAGATTTATTCATCCCTCCCGGTGGGGCCTGTAATCCCAAGTTTAACGATGAAATATAATATTCTGTAAATACACAGATATATACGCAAATGTATTTCACATTTGGAAATCCCTCTTTAGTAATTACAACGTTAATACGGCCACGAGTAATGACCGAAGACAGGAATGATATTGAAATTACGCGGGTAACAATAGATTTTCAAGTTGCGGATTTCATTAATTTTTCTCCAAAGGTTTCTCGTTGCTTTTAAGATTATATTTTAAAGTAAGAAGAAATTCCTGCAAACTTTTTCATACAAATATTTAATTTTATGCAAACGTCAAATAAGTCTCTTCGTAAAAAGTTGTATTCCGGTTAGAAAAAGAAGAAGAGAAGATATTACGTTTTCATAAAATGTTTCAGAAAATTTAAATAATAATAATAATAAAGTATTTTAATTAATAACGAATTTTTATATCTTGTTACATTATTTTGATAAAATTTATTTTAGAAAGAAATGTTAGAAAGAGGAGGAGAAAAATACCTATTTGTATATGTAACATTCGATCAAATGTTTTGAAGTTACGATTATTTTATTTTTATAAATTCCGAAATATATATTATTTAGAAAAAAAATGTCAACTATGCGATTGTGTAGTAGAAATGCCTAACTCGTTTGTACAAAAAGCAAATGACAAAAACCAACCGAGAGAGAGATTTTAAAAAATATTAACCATTTAATTTCAAGAGCATCCTCTTGGATCCTCTTCTGGCCACGATTGTCCGGACCGTTCGCTGCGCACGAAAATTATTTGAGCGTATTTGACTATAATTCATCGCAGGTGTCGACTCGCTGAACAAGCAATTCGTGCGGCTCTGCGAATTTACGTTAATTTCCACGAGGCAGGCCACGTGCGCCGCTATAGGAGTTCCGAAGCGGAGGAAGTAGAAGCGGCCGGTTAGAGTCAGACAGGCGTGCATATATGCGCCACTCCTGCAGCAAGAGTGTAGTCTACTGTGTTCTCGGTCGTAAGATTAGAGATACACCGGGAGGAGAAACGCATGTTGTCTACAAACTATTACGGTCGGTATTAGAATGTTTCCACGATGTTTTTATACATTTTTTATGTCCTCACAGTATCTTTGAAAGAATGCAAATATGCCTTGATTCAAGTATATTTTATCCTTATAATAGCGCCAAATGTAAATAATTTTGAATAAAGGATAATTTATCCTTAAAACAAAGTGCAAAATATTCTTGGTTGAAGCTGAAATTTACTTATAAATATTGCAAGGACAAGTGACAAGTGAGTATCGGATATAAGCGGTACTTTCAAGTATATATAATAATTCTTAGTTCAAATGTGACTAAGTTTGTTTTTACCATACGCGATTTTTCAAACAAGAATATATCTTAAGGATAAAATATACTTCACACAAACTTATTTATTATTAAGGCAAATGAAAATTTGTGATTATAAAGAACGTTCTATGCTTAAATCAATCAAATAGCGTTCAAGAATAAAAATATACTTGAATCAAGGATTCCTTTTTTTCTGTGCTTTTGGATGTGTTTCATCGAGTTTATATGTACAATTAGTTATTCTAAGCTCTTCCATAAACATATTTTTTTGCCTTGGTCTTATAATATATATTCTGCCGCGAATTCCTTCGCGATTTACGCGTCGAGAGTCGAATAAGCGTTAACAAAATGTGAAGCTCACGATCTCGCGTTATATTTTCCAAGAAATAAATTGGCGTGAAATGATTTATTTGAATTCAAATTTATGTATTCGCGTGCGTGCGAGAAGAAACCGAAGTAAGGTTTTTAGCGTAATGTGACATAATGCTTGCCGCGAAACGATCATTTAAGAGAGAAAAACAAGCCGACGAACGAGACGAGAGACGAGAATCCAAGGACGACCGCCGAGTGGTCTTTCCCCCTCGAAAGAGAGAAAGGAAGAGAGAGCCAAGGACTTTTCCGGACGTCAAGCAAGTTATTTACCGCGAGTCGCGAGTCGCTCCTTTTTCGGCTATAAGTGCGAGCGATATTTATACAGGGCGGGCCATAAAAGCCGCCATAAATCGCACCCTTGATAAAAGTAGCTATATTTAACGCGCCGACCACCCGCAGGGTCACACACCTGAATACGAATTCATTCGTCTTGAGCAGCGTACATTTTATCCGCAGAATACGACGCTCCCTCTCTCTCTCTCTCTCTTTCTCGACTTCGGGATTATGGCATATTTGCAGCCGTGCTCATGAGTTTCGCTTCTTATTCCCCCGTGGGAGTCCAATAGGATCGACTCGAGCGAGTGCGACACCGCGATAGTCGTGAAACGTAAAGATTATTGTATAAGCCGATCTTCGATTTTATTCACTGTGTCTCTAATAATAAAAGGTTCTACCGCGTAAAGATTCTCTCTCGCTGCAAAGTCTGCAACTTTTATACAGAAAAAGTGAATTACACAGTTTTCTTTTTTTAGGTAATTTTTAGACATATCGATTATACTATAATAGTAATTTTCTGTTTTATATATAAAACATAGTTTAGCATCAAATGAAGAATGAAGAATTGTTAATAATATAAAAAATATAAATTCCTATTTTCAGTATTTTTTTTTTAATCAACAATAGAAGCATCCAATAATTTGATTACTATCTATATGTGTAATGATAATGAACTTAACTTTTAACTTTTTTTGCATTACACATATTCTATCATTGTAAAGTAATATTGTCCTGCTGTTTGTAGACGAATATGGACGTGATATGGACTTTTAATGAGTAACTCTACGTGTCTCAAAGAGAGACGGTTTAAAGAGAGAAATAGTTTATAAAACATGAAACAATTTTAAATAATATTTCTCGCGTGAGTTTTATATATAAAGCCATTACAATTTTAGACAAAAAGTAAAGTAATATGTGACAAATGTTGAACTATACAGATAGTACAGTTTTTGATTGAAAATTTATAGTTAAATTATAGCAAAAAACGATATAAAACTATAAAGTCACCAGATGATAATTAAAAAATGATAATAATTCAATTGACCAACTCTGGCAAATATGTAATTTTATTGAATATTCACAACGTTTCTAAGATCGAATTTTTGTTTTTTAAAAAAGTTGTGATTTACTTTGTTTTAAGAACATAGCACTTGATAAGGTCCGAAACCCACGGCCGAAACGTTGTGAATATTCAATAAAATTACATATTTGCCAGAGTTGGTCGATTGAATTATTACCATTTTTTATAGTAAAAAAGTTATTGAAAACTATTTTGTACACCTAATTTAAAGCATATTTTTCCCAAATATAAATTTACATTATTATTAAAACTGACGTGTAAAAGACATATAAAAGGAAAGTGCACATATTTAAAATATTTACATTTAAATAACAAAAAATGCTAAATGCTTGAAAAAATTTATATGAGAAAATAAATTATATTGTATCATGCTTTTTCATTTTGTTGTTAGATCTGAATGGCGAAAATTATACTTTTATTCATCTTTCTTGTATTATGTGATTGGAAAGGTGAAAGTTTCGCTTCCAAACAGAGAAGACAAATATTATATCCACCACCGATTGTCTATCCATTCGGAGGAACAATCAAGGTATTTTAATTTCTAAATACATTTTTAATCTCTAAAAGAGAAATCTTGTTTCTTAAGTATGTGCCATTAAAAATATCGCTTTGTTAATTTTTATTTAAATTTTATTATTCAAATATTCAGAGCGAGATTCTTCGCACCGAGATAGTGAAGGGAGATTCCTGATTACTTTAGAAACTAATTTTTGAAGTTCTCCTTGTGCGCATATTTGAAAATTTCGCTGAATATTTCCCTTAGAGGACGCGCTAACTAATTACGATTTTCAGAACGTAATATTCCACATGGATGAACCGAGTGACATAGTAAATCTCTTCTTCGAAGACGCGTATTCTATATATCGCGACACTATTCTCCATCCAACAAGCCAATGACACTTCCTATCCTTGAATGTGGTAGATTTCTGTAGTTACCTAGCAGTGTGAGTTTGCCGTAACTTTCCGTCTCGATGCTCAAAGAAACGTTTCTTGAACAAGTTTTGATTTGAACGCAGTTTACTATGTGCTTCACCGTTTCAACATTAATCGTTAAGTGAGAATTTAATTTGTGTAATTCGGCGTAATATGATATCTCAAACTTGCATATTAATAAGTGACGATTTAATTAAAACAAGCGCAGATGCTTAACCGTTTTCACGTTAAAAATATCTTGCAATTTATTACATGCTAAAACACATTACAATTAAATATGTTATCCAAGTTTAAATATTTTATTATAAAATAATATATACTAATATTTTATACGAGTTAAGAAAACTATTGATCAGCAGATTAGATTTTATTTTCATTTTATCAGAATTATTTATGACCATAATATATAATTTTAATTATCAAAATTTTAAATAAAAGATATTACAACGCGTTATACTATTTTATATATGTGTAATGTCCTACATTTTCTACAACTTATCATACTATTCAACTAACTCGATTAACATACAATAAAAATAAATTGATTTCGTGAACAAGATGACAAAATGCACTAAATTCTTCTTAAGCACAATTTTAGCACAGAAATCGGTAATAGTGCTGTTAATGTCTTTAACAGCGCGAGAAGCAGAAGAATAAATTTAAATGGCGAGAATATCCCGACGCGATGTACACTATAGAATGCGATTGATAATTAACTGCAGTTTTATCTTGTGCCAGCGCCTTCTCAAATTCTCTAATTAAATAGAAAAACTTTAGCCGTAGTCTTCCCCTTGCGGCAGATAAGACAAGACTCGATGTCATAACGAGTTGTTTATCTTGATTTTCGCTGCCTTAGCGAGAATCTTGATTATCAGATAATGCTCACTCTTTCTCTCTCTCTCTCTTTTCTATTTTTGAAAAAAAAACTTAATAAAAATTAAACAAAAAGTTTATAAAGTATTTGGTCAGCATACAAATCATTTTCAATTCAGCATTATTCTTATTTTGCCGCGATACTTTTACTTTAAATGTACTAATTTATTTAATACATATTTTTTTACGGATTACATATATGCGTGCAATTTTTATTAAAAACAGCACTTTTTAGATTACCTACGCACTGATACTTTACGAAATTTCATAATCGATAAATAACTTGTCGTATCAACCGTTAGATGATTACAGTGTATAAATATAATCAATATCTTATAGTATATAAAAATTATTTAATCTAATGATCAAGAAAATTTCTATCGAAGAATTTTATATTTAAATTCAATAAATCATCGAAATAATCGCATGTACAAATTCATTAACTAAATTAAACAATAACTTTGATGATCGAGATACACGAGGTGGGTTTCTCGATAGGGATATAGTCTTTTAAAAAGTAGAAGCTGGAGAATGCTTCCGGATAGTCTGATATCTCCTAGGAAACCTATAATCCTTATCATATATGCAGCCTACTCTTGGCACGATGCAATTTGCAATATTCAGTATACACTGTTTGTATATATACTGCATAAAGGAAGATTATGCGTATCCCTATGGTATTTTGTAGGCATTAATTAGCATAAGTATCTATACATGACTCGAGGCCTAATTGTATTTTTATATACGCAAATATATTATACGAATGCAAGAAATTCGCAACAAAATGTTATATGTTTCAAAATTCAATGAAATGTCTTTTCAAGATAATCGACAAACAATGTTTCTGCAAGATATAAAATGATATTTTAAAATAATTATATTATAATATTCCGAATTAAAGATATGGATTTTATTTGAAATAACATTCCGAATATTGTAACATGAAATATATTCGATTGACAATGAATCGAGTAACAAGCATTAGGATGATGAACGGAGATAGTCTATATCTTTAAAAATTGTGTGTGCGTGTTTATAATCGATATTATAAAGTATGTATGTTAGCAAAGTTTAACATTTTTTCGTAAAAATAAGTATACTTATAATGTTTGTTAACAACGTTTGTGTTCAACACGATTCGCTTATAAAAGATATATAGGTATATATACAGATCGATATTACCCGTCGGTTATTAAATGTAATATATATAAATTATTCAATTTAAGTCATGTAAATTTATCGAAGCTTCTTTTAAAAATATGTACATTTTTATATTGCAGAAAAAATCAAATAAGAATTAATAATTATAGCGAAAAATAGTAATAATATGCTTCTTTGATATTAGGAAATAGACGTACTTTTAAATGTCAATAACGATATGCAGTAACTCATTGTAAGTCTCATTTGTTACATTTCACGTTTTCAATTTAAATGTTGATTCTGATTGCATGTACATTAATTTCTAGAATGCTTCTATTGTAATTTTGAAAAGGACCACAGCCCGTATGGTCGAAACGTCAATAAATATAGTTTAACAAATCTAATAGACAGCCAGTGTAGTCAGTTTAATATCTACTACCTTAGTATTTCATTCCTGGCGAACGAAATTTAATATTTTATTGTTATTAGGAAATAGAGTCGATAAAACATTGACTTCTCATAAATTGGTTTATTAGAATATTGAATAATTGAAGCATTACGAAATACTTTTTCAACAAACTTCTTACTAATGACATTCTTACTAACGTTGGAAAAATATCGTGAAACACTAAGTAAGAATAATCAAAAGAAAACGCGAGATGCTTTCTAGAACAGACTTTGGCAGTAGACGAACGTTATTATTTGTATTAAGCTTCGCTTTTTTTCTGCAATCTTTCGATAAAAGAAGAACTAAAAATGTTTCGTATGCACAATGTAAAACGTAAGAAAATACAAAATTCAATGAAATGTCTTTTCAAGATAATCGACAAACAATGTTTCTGCAAGATATAAAATGATATTTATAAAATAGTTATATTTATAATATTCCGAAATTAAAGATATGGCTTTTTTATTTAAAATAACATTCCGAATATCGTAACATGAAATATAAGCTTCGATTGACAATGAATCGAGTAAACAAGCATCTAGGATGATGAACGGAGAAGATAGTCTATATCTTTAAAAATTGTGTGTGCGTGTTTATAATCGATATTATAAAGTATGTATGTTAGCAAAGTTTAACATTTTTTCGTAAAAATAAGTATACTTATAATGTTTGTTAACAACCTTTGTGTTCAACACGATTCGCTTATAAAACCAAGATATATAGGTATATATACAGAGTGTTCGATAATAATCGTCTCCCGTCGTTTTGAGATATAGAGGATTAAATTGAAAAGGACAAACTTCTTTTACGATATTTACAATCACTAATAAAAAATTAACTAACATTCTAATATTAAACAGTTCATGGGCGCAATATGCTTCGTTCGCGCGCGATTAATATGGGACGAATATTATTGAACACACTGTATATAGCGATATTTCACAATCTGTAGATAATTTGCCATATCGGCCGTTAGATGGCTACAATCTTCAAGTATATAAATTATTCAATTAAATAATCATGAAAACTGAGCAAAAAATCTTGTATTTAAAACAAACTGAAAACCAATACCCAGCTGTTGTGTCCAGATAATTAATTAAACTATTAATAATTTTATTAGGATAGAGATTAGAATAATATCGTCATGATGTATGTTTCTCGATAGCGAAAGTATTGATATACTTTCTTTATAAATAAAAAGCTGGAGAATATTCTTTCGGATAGTCTGATATCTCCCAGGGAACGTCTGGGGTTTACATGAGGAACCCAAAGGGCACGTAATATCTATCCAGGTAGAGATTATGTTGCTAGTGCAATAATTTCGTGCAATATTATTATTAGGACATAATGAAATGATCTCATTAGTTGTATACAACCAATTAGTTGTCTAATCTAAGTGTATATCCTCTAGAGATGAGAACTGAGGCGATAACTTTGATTATCCATTTTACTGAATTATATGATTTAATTTTTTTTTAATATTAAATATTTATAAAATTTCACGAAAGTAATAAAAATATAAACGTCGATAATTTTGTTCCAATTTCATTATTACTGTAGTGCTCATTTCTTTATAAATGTTATATGCAATATAAATATATACGTACATATGTATATCTTATTTTATTAAATACTTTTTATATTATACTGCGGAACATTATGAAATTTGAATATAGACAGATAATTTGACCCGTCGGTTATTAAATGTAATATATATAAATTATTCAATTTAACAGTCATGTAAATTTATCGAACAATCTTGTACTTCAAATTGATCAATAAACCACTGATATGTTCATAAATAATTTTATTTAAAAAATTAAACTGTAAAGATTTAATCGAGATTAAAATAATATTGTCACGCGTATTTTTCGATAGCAATAATATTGATAATATATTTTTTTTTTATAAAGAAGAAGCTATGTGTGAAGAATAAATGATGCTTTTATGTCTTTCGAAAAACTTACAAATCTTTATATGCGATTACTCTTATCATGATGCAATATTCGATATGCACTCTGTATGGAATGAAACATACGTAGAGAAAGATTGAGGGATATAACTTTACGATTGATTTTGGACCTTAATTCGAATAAATACATGATTCCGGAGATCTAATTGTATTCTTAAATACG